GTGCTACCATTGCTCACCCCAGTGTTAACGTAATGCATATTAGTAGTTCTCAGTGTTGGCTACCAGGGAAATTCTAAGACTCTGGCACCCTCACATTCAGGAAATAGGATTTGTTCTCAGGTATTGGGTATTTGGTCTTTGGTGACAGCTTTATTGAGATAAAATTCATGTACCACTTAATATACAGTTTGAAATATATAATTCACACCTTTAACCTGAGCACTTGGGAGACTCAAGTTCAAGGCCAGCCTGGGCTACCTTGTGAGTACCAAGCCAGTACAACAAAACCCAGTTGTGTGTGCATTGTTCATTAGTTCAGCAGTTTCTTGAACTGGCCCTAGTATTCCTATCTCAAATTATTTTATGTGTATGAATGTTTTGCCTGTGTATATATGTGCCTGGTTTGAAATTTTTTACCCTACAAGAGGGTACTTGGCTTAAGAATAGTACATATTTTAGCCAGATGTGGTGGCACATGTCTCTCTGATCCTGAAATTCCTGAAGTGGGGGTTGGATGAGCTCAGGGCCAACCCTCATTACATGAGTTCAGTCTAAACAAACAAACAAAACCCCCAAATTTTAGGTGTGGTAGCTTATTAATCACAGTACTTGGAAGCTGAAGCAGGTGGAATGCTATGAGTTCTAGGCCAATTTGAGGCTATAGATACATGTCTGAAAAAATATATGTACTAGATATTCACTGTAACATACACTATGTTTTATAGGTAGAGCATATTTTGTACATATATATCCACATGTATGTATGTATATATATACACACAAAATTTATGCTCCATTTGTATGATAAATAATACTTAAATTTCAGTCCAGAATCTAATCCTCTGTCCTAAAAATTGCATTGCCTTGTAGCTATTATTTTTAAAATCTGGGGTTTCATAATCATTGCCTTAGTGAGTCTCCCATCTGTTGGGGACAGTGTCTCAGTAGTGAGGACCTGTTCTGACTAGTTTGTATCTCTTTAGAGGGAACCATTTCGAGCAAAACTAGACATTCCATTGCTTCTAGCTGTTGTTTTCTTTCCCTGTTTGCCCACTGCCTGATTGAAGTCCTTTTGTCTTTCAGGTACATCCCCACAGCAGCTGCCTTTGGGGGCTTGTGCATTGGTGCCCTGTCGGTATTAGCAGACTTCCTTGGGGCCATTGGCTCTGGCACTGGGATTCTACTTGCAGTCACTATTATTTATCAGTATTTTGAAATATTTGTTAAGGAACAGGCTGAAGTTGGAGGGATGGGTGCTTTGTTTTTCTAAATGTTCATATATTTCTTTGCGTGTGTGAAAGGGAAAATATTTTGACATACTGTTTCTGTCAAATAATGCGGATTCCCTTTTTTCCCTCAGTCTGTTGTTTTTAGTGCTAATTGTCCCATTTCTGAAATGGGCACCAAGCTAAGCCTGTGTGCAGCATTAGTACCAGCTGCCTTAAAACTGAAGTTTACATTATTTGTTGGCACCGTCCATCTAGTGTTGCCCGTGATGCTGGGACGCAGTGTATCTGCTTAGCTGTTGGTCAGACAGCAAGACAGTGACATGGACTAGCTTTGCACACAACATTCAGAACACTGAATATTCCCTTGTTTAAAAATAAACAGTGCAAATTGCCACTTTCCAGTATTTTTTGAGCTTCCCTAATGAGTTACGGAGCATTTATATCTAATGTATATTTTAGATAATTTTTATACTTTTTTAACTCATCGTATCCATGTTCTTGACCTTCCCTCACCAGCCCCAACCCCTCTTTATTTGTCCTATCTCCAAACTGCCACTCAGCCTGGATGGGCAATAGTCAAACATGGAAGTTATTTCTGTCACTGGAAACAACTGTTTCTAATTCCTCCTGCTTTTCATTCTTCCTCTTCTGCCAGTGACAGCTATGAGTGCTGTGCAGCTGCACTGGCTCTGCCTTCTCCCTTCCAGCACTCAGTGTGATGACCATTAGTACTTCTCCTTTCCCCAAGCAGTGTCTGTAGTTGAGTGGAAGTGAACAATGAATAATTCAAACTAGGACTTTCTCTTACATGCATAGCAGACCCAAACGTAAACAGTAGACAATAAAGTTTTATTTAATAAAACTGTTGCAGTTGTGTTGGAAAAATAAAGAGATGTGGTATTAAATGTTCTCTTAAGATTAATTTTGTAAGCTCATTGTATTTTCTATGGAAACCATCCAGATATGCTTAAAGAAGTTAGATGTAGTCATACTTCAGTTGTAAATTCCTGAAGGGCAGTGGCAGTTGAAGGGTGCTCATGCATATTTAGAAAGGGACAGGCCAAGTGTCTCAAAACATACTCTAGCATTTTCAGAGTGCATACTTTATTTTCCAAAAAAATTATCAAACTTAATTTTTAAGTTATTTTCACAAGTACAGTTTTCAGTCATTGACTTCCTTAGTAGGAATGGGAGGTAGTACTGACTTAGCTTGGATCATGAAGTCAGATAACTACGGAGGTGAGTGAAGTCAGGCACCGGAAACACCCCGGGGCATTAGGACCCATTTTGTGTGTTTACAGAGGAATGCAAAAGGGCAGCTTCCTTAGAAATGTAGGGAAATAACCAGTTTGGGAGGAGTGAAGATGCCAGATGGCCAGCCCTCTTGAGTCTGACTTCACCTCCAACAGGCCCTTCTGAGGTGTACAGGGGATACAAATGACACTAAGGACAAGTCTAGGAGGTACTGGTTCCTGCTCAGTTGCACTCCTAGAACACAGAGACACAAAGGCCAGGGAGAATGGGACAAATGTTGTGTCCAGGCCAGTACCAAAGACCATTCCCATTGCACCTGGCTCTAGAGTTGCCCCATGGAGAGGATGAATGTATGGAGCCTGTTTCTTCATTTCAGAGGATGGAAGCAACACGGGGAAACAAAGATCCTGGGGAACTCATGGGAAAAACTGGTATCTTTGGAGAAATATCATTCTTGTGATTAGAAAATAAGTTTTTTTTTTAAGTGTTAAAATCATAGGGAAGGCTACTGTTGTATAAAAAGGTGGGTCTTAATTTTCACATTCATTAGGAAAGCAGATTTGGTTTATAAAATTCCAGAATTATTTCCATCCTCAAGTCCAATATAAAGATTTGTAGAAAGAGCTTATACTTTTTCATAAAAATACCTGTTGGTGATAACACTTAGCATGGATCCTGACTGTACATGGGTAAACCACTCTGTAAGGTTCAGAGAGTTTGCCTTGACCCTGGATCCCGCTGCAGACACACTGAGCTGGTCAACAGCATCATGCTGAGGATGCTGCTAGAGGCTGAGCCGCAAGACAGCAATCCTTGAGCTGCTACAGTAGTCAACACAGTAGCTGAGCTCATCAGAACAAGGACACTGGCAGAACTGTTGGCTGATGATGGAAACCATTGTTGCATTCCCAGCATAGTTTTACCTTTCAGATAGCTGGCTAATCTATCTCCCTATACCCATGCCCATTGACATCAATATACATGTGGAGTCAGTGCCAATCTTCCTATGGATTTAGCTTTAGTAGACAATTTTCTGCGGTAAGGATAGGAAATTAAAGTATATGCACACTTGCAGGAAGGGCCCTGAGTTTTCAGTCTCTTAGCTTTAGCCTTTAATATATGAAGAGTTAACCACGTTCACTACGGAAGTATTAGTCTTGGCATGTTTTAGGAACTAAATGGCCTTACAAGGATATCAAATACATTTTAAAAGTTATTTTTGAGATAAAGTTTCATTATGCAGCCCAGGCTGGCCACATTTATGATCTTGCCTCAGCCTCCCAAGAAGGTAGATTACAAGCATATACCAAAAGTAGCTAAATATTTACTGCAAATGTTATTCTCTGTTGACTTTACATTTAAGTACCCAAATTCCATAAGGCAAATCAATTAGAATTAGGAGAAGCCAATTAATCTCCTATCAGAGTCTCTCTTTTAAAACTCTTATTTTGGCCAGGTGTGGTGGTGCATACCTTCAATCCTAGCAATGGAGAGGCAGAGACAGGTGGAGTTCAGAGTTCTGAACTCTAGGAATTCAGAGGCAGACTGGTCTACAAAGCAAGTATCAGGCCAGTTAGAGCTAAAGTGAGACCTTGTCTCAAAACAAAACCTAACCCTCTTCTTTTGAAATCTAATCAAAATCTTATTTTGAATCTCATAAATAGCTATTTGCAGACCTAAGTACATACTTTTTATTTTAGGAGTTGAGGATGGAAATAGCCGACCTTATTTGGAGTTCAAGTCTATTCCTGAGAAATACCCTCACCTTCTGGACTAGGTGAAGGTTAAGAAATCTTAACATACATACCTACATTTATGTTCTTTCTCACGAGCATTTGACAAGTTTAAATGAAGGTTACATCCTCTCTGTAATTGTAATTCCATGCCACATGCAGTCTGGGCTGCTTTTATTTTATGAAAAAGCTCATTTCCGATCTACATTAAACTTAATTGAATACATTGAATGGTGAAGGCCTTGTGGTCTCATTTACAAAACATGGCCAGTGTCCTTCTTGGCCTTAAAATTTGAGGAAGGGCACTTCGAATGGCTTCGAGTTCGCGTGTTTCAGTGCCAGAGCATAGGCGTAGACCCTGGCATCCACTGTAAGATGTTCTTCTGCTACCAAAGCTAAGGAAGCAAAGATGACAGTTTAGAGATGATGACAGGAGAGCCTAGACAATCCCTGTTCACAATGTATGCCAGTTCCTATACTAGATGCTGGGGACACAGTCTAAAATTAACACATAAAGGATTAAAAGTAGTGACACAAATGTCCATCAGGACAGCATGCAGCCATCTCACTGGCCCAGTGTCTCCTAGCCACTTATTTGGGAATAAGCTCAAAGGACTGATCCTTGAGGTCAGGGGTCATGTCCTATTCACCTGTGTACAGCAGAAGTGACAAACCAACATGGATGTTGATTCCTGTAGTTTGATTATACTGGGTAGGTAAATTGGTTGTTTCACCCTCCTCTCTTTCTTGCTGAATTATCCCCTCCTAAGACCAGAAGGGAAGTCAGGTGAACGAGAGAGAGAACCCTATAAAGGATATTCTATAAACAAAGAACCCTATAAAGAATATTCTACAAACAAAGCATTTACCACATACTGTTTAAGCACCTGGGGGCTAAGCACTTTGCCTGTATTACCTGTCTAATTTTTCTCATGCATCCTCACAGGAAGAGGCTTGATTCAAGAAAACAAGAAACTAGTAACAGTGATAATGGTGGCAGAGCCTCAAACTCACCAGGCCTGTCCGATCATTAGCTGTACTGCCTAATATTGGCTGCCATGCCTTTTCTGAATAAATGGTGGCATTTAATTTGACTTTGAGGTATTCAGATGAATTCTATCTCAGGTCTAGTTTTTGAAAAGGTGAAGAAATTGAAGCTGTCTGGGAATATAAAACCATAGTTTTTTTTTGAAAGATAGTCACTTAATTTTTAAACAGCAACAGACATTTCAAAATAGAGCTCTCTGCTTAAGGGAAGGCATAAATCACTGGCATGGGAGGAATTAAGGACTATTCCTACGGTTTTAGGTCAATGAATACTTGTTATTTTATGTTAATCTCCAAAGTAATTACTTAAAACCCTTAGTTTTAAGCCGGGCGATGGTGGCGCACGCCTTTAATCCCAGCACTCGGGAGGCAGAGGCAGGCGGATCTCTGTGAGTTCGAGACCAGCCTGGTCTACAGAGCTAGTTCCAGGACAGGCTCCAAAGCTACAGAGAAACCCTGTCTCGAAAAACCAAAAAAAAAAAAAAACCTTAGTTTTAGCAAAAATAAGTTATCTGTGTCCTGAAAGAGATCTATAAAAAAAATTGGGATCATGAAAGGCTCTGCTTCTTTACAAATGAGTGAATAGCAGTCCACAAAGCTGGGGTCCACAAAGCTGGGGCACAAAAGCACCTGTGCCACCTCCTCAGTAACAGGATCTAGGGAAGGTATCAATATCTAACAGGATTTTTGCACTGTCTTTGTGGATGGGCGGATCTAACCAACTGGCCCTGATTTACCAAGGTTCATTCTATCAGCTTCTCAGTCAAGTGTGTGCTGGAGGGCTGCTGTCAGAGTTTACCTTGATTTAATTTGACTGTCCACAAAGACATCTAGTACACCAGTGCAGCTGGACTATACATTTACACCTGGACATGGCACTGACCAAAGATCTTAAGAACTCAATAGTTTTGGTTAGACAGCAGGAAAGTAATCACTATTATGTAGGGAAATTTAAAAAGGCCCCTATTAAAGCATTCCCTCAACACAATGTTTTTTTTTTTTAATTTCAAATTGTATATCACTTGAAAAAACTAGCATTGGTCCACAGTAATTTTCAAAGTTTTTAGGTGTCTGACATTAATGAGATGAAGATGAGGGAATTACACTAATGTCCTAGTGGATAGAAATGGGGACAGGGAACCAAGAGAAGGCTGGGTAATAACCTTAAGGTGCTTACCGTCCAGTCTAGTCAGTAGGTCATTCTTTGGTAAAGAAATCACTTCCACAAATTCTAAACAAACAGAATACAGTGAAAATAAAGTTGAACAGGAGTGAACCCCAACAGCCCAAATGTCTGCAGCCGTCATTACCACTACACTAAGCCATCACAGGGCCAGCCATTGGGAGTTGAATAACATACCTCCATCCCCTGCAAATAAAAAGAAGGAAGAACATTTATATTTTAGTACAGCCTGCTGGGACAAGCCTTGGAAGACTTCAGTGCAAGTATAAAAACTGGAGAAGAATCTAATAGAAACTCAAGACTACTAAATATATCATAGTAAAGTCAATTTCAATAGTGTAACGATGTCATTCTCCAATCATTTCACAGAAAAATTTAAAGCATATCCTGTAATGCATGTTTGCCACATTTATACCTGTGGACAAATACACAATAGAAAATTTATCATTTTAACCATTTTTAAATTAAGATTCAGCAAGATTAAATATGAGTTATGCAGATGTTACCATCCTTAAGCTCACAATCTTTTACCACCCAAAACTGAAAGTTGGAATTCTTCCATGTCTTATGAATATATGCAGTTTAAACAATTAAGCATTTAAAACTGGCTGCAAGAGATAATGAAGAATATGCAGGATTAATTTACAAGGATAAGAAATTACCACTCAAACATGATTTACTATGGTGTGTGTGTATTGATAACCATGTGTACTGATAAATCACCCGTCTATTAATCCACCTTCAAAGGGGTGGAAAAAAGGACAGGGAATTGACAGTGTCTTAATGCTTTCGGACCCCAACTTGCTAGGGGATATTTTAGTGCAAAGACTAACCTTACAAACTCTCCAAATATAAAACTGGCTGAATAAAAGTTTAACACCTGCAGCTCTTATACATGAAGACAAAAACCAAGGCGATTTTAGAGTTTCTCACTTTCTAGTTGGGCCTGTACCTCATTAAATAGGAATCAATTTTACACACACACACACACCAAAAAATTGGACATTGAACATTTTATAAAATCAAATAATATCTTATAACTTTTATAGTTTAACATTTTATAAAAACAAAACACATAAAAGATCAATGAAATGCAAAATAAAGAGAATATGTCAAAATACCTACCCAACACTGGGAAGCAGACAAGTATCCACGAAGAACCTGTGGTACACTATGATTCTTCCAGTGAAAACCATGCTTACTTTAGTGAGTTAAGAGACTCAATGCAGCTCAACCCACTTAAATGCATCCACCACACCCACCCTTACCTGGATTGGGCTTCGGCCTTACATTTGCAGCATCATCTCCATTGATGGTCACTGTCACAACATGTGTGGTACAGTTTGACAAGCCTGGATTCATACACACAGCTGAGAAAAGAAGTGACAACTTGTCTTAAGAAATGAAGCAAGTGCTTACTTGTTTCACTAAATGTCACAGAAGGTGAGGCTCAGGGTTCATGCCATCAGTATCTAGTCAGTAGATGCTACCAGACTGTAGAATGTGTATGTGCGCAAAATGCTCTCAAAGTTTCTGGAGTTCCTGCACCAGTCTGGGGAGTCTGAGGGGTTAGATGGTTCTGATGGGGACGAACAACCCTAGTGAGGAGTATGCCACAGACAGGTAAGAAAGTAGCAAGGTTTGCTACGCACTGAAGACAAGTTGGTTTCACAGTTTTTCAATTTCAGTTCTCTAACTTGCTCTCATGCAAAGAGCAGTTCACTTGCAGATGGAGAACCCGCCTTTTTAATTGGGGTGAAGGGGCACTGAAACACTGTCTTATTGTATAGCCCATGCTGACCTTCATCTTACACACCTTCCTCAGCCCTGGAGGACTAGAATTACAAACATCACTGCACGTGACTGGAAGCCAATCTGAATCCCTGGTCCCTCTCTGCCTGCACTTCAACCATACAGAAGCCCTGTTTCATTAATGTTCAAGAAACTGACATCTGAAAAGCAATACAAACCTGGAGAACATTCAGCAACATCGCCTTTGTAGCCAGTTTCTTCCTCTAGCTCCCGCAGAGCAGCTGCTTCTGGGCTTTCCCCATCGTCGATGAGCCCTGGAGGACAGATGGGAAGCCAGTTCTTTGAACATCTTTCTAACAGTTGCTAAGGAGCTGACTTAGGAAAGTCAAGGTCACCCTTGCATACCAAGCAGGTTAAGGTAGGTGTTTCTCCTGCCTCTTGCTTACATCTAGATGTTTTCAGGAACATCTCAGCCATGTTCTGTACACGAGGGGCAGCACTGTGAGGAAAGATGATTTGGTGGTGGCCAAACAGCCTAGGTTTTGGAGCCAGTTATGTGACTATAGTACAAGAGGCTGATTCTTTCTGTTTCATTTTTTGGTATGGTAACCATTTACTTATCTTGCTTTCCTTCCTCACAGAAAAATCCCGAGGCCTAGCAATAAAGTGCCAGGAGGAAGTGCCCTGAAGGTTGCTATGGAGACCAGATAGTCAAAAGAGGGAGAAAGTAAAAACTCAGGTTCATTTTCCTGAATGGAATACAACCATGTAAAGAACAAGTAAAATGTAGGTTATTAAATTATTAAATTACTTTCAGTGTTATTATTTTCTTAATAAAATGGCAAGTGAGAAAGAAACTAGCTAACTATATATTGCTGTGAATTGGGCTTTGTTAAGTGGGTAAACACTGCACTTAAACCCTAGCAAGCTTCATGAAACTGGCTGTGAAGTATACCACTTTTGATAAATACACAGGGTTTATTGATTCCTTCATGAGTACAGTCCAATACATTGCTGTAATACTGTGTGGGGCTGGAGAGATGGCTCAGAGGTTAAGATCACTGCCTGCTCTTCCAGAGGTCCCTAGCCTTAGACATGTTTATTACTTAAACATTTGCCACATGGACAGATGAAAAGATGTTAAGACATAAGCAATGTGATGCTCAGCCTCAGGCAAAGGACCCGGCGTTACTCACCTGCTGGAAACTCCAGGCAGTAGCCACCCATTGGGGGTCGGAACTGCTTCACCAGAACAATACACTCATAATGAAGAGTTCTTTGTAGCACTGGGATGATTGACACGGCTGTCAAACAGAAACACAGCTAAGGGATCCTTAAGAAAGGTCAGCAATCCAACATAAATTTCAGATTTGAAGATGCATCTAAAATACTCTGAATTTGCTGTTGAAGCAGTGAGCAATTAATTAATCTACATGCTGGCAGCCAACTCTGAACTAGTCTCATTTAATAATGTAAAATGTAAGCCGGGTGGTGGCGGTGAACATCTTTAGTTCCAGCAGAGGCAGGCGGATCTGAGTTTGAGGCCAGCCTGGTCCACTGAGTTCCAGGATGGCCAGGGTTACATGGAGAAACCTTGTCTCACACACACACACACACACACACAGCAGAAAACAAAACAAAACAAAACAAAAACAAGAACCCCCCCCAAACAAACAAAACAACAACAACAAAAAAAAAAAACAAGAAAAGAAAGTAGAAAGTAACACTTCTGTCAGATTTTAAAATACTCTTAAAAAAAGGTTCACTTTTGTTGTCAAAACATCCTTTTCCTTTTTCTCTTTTAGATGGAGCCTATGTGTGTCTACTGCGTGGGCTAACTCAAACTCATGGTTTCCCTGCTCCAGGCTCCCAAGTGTATATATAGGACTACAGGTGTGAACTACCAGCTCAGTCACAATTTCTTAAAAAATGAAGTTGAAATTGAAATTAAACATGTCACACCGGGCCAAGCACGGGAAGCCCCTGCTCCGCAGGCAGCAGCCAGTGAGGTGACACCTGGTGACACCTGGTGACGAGTGTCTGCGGCCACTAGATCTCCTTTGTGCCAGAAGCCAGTCAAGAGCCACTGTGTCTCCTCTGTCAATGGTCCGACTTCTGCTATTCTAAAATATAAGCTCTTCTGCTCCAAATAATTTGGCCTTAAAACAAAACCAGAAAGTCTCTGGCTGTAGAGAGAGACCCCATCAAGGAGGACTGTTAGCATCTCCCAGATGTGTTGACAGTTGAGAGCAGCTGGAGCAAAGCAATTGTTTGCCTCCTACAAAAACAAACCAAACCAAGATAGCAAAGCAAAAAGCTCAGCTGTTCCAGACCACATGTGGCTACCAGGATGTTTCTGGTGTGGTTACAGCCAAGTCGTTTATGCCTGGAAGGGGAGGTGCACGGAAGCCCCTTCCCAATTCTCTTTCCGCTCAACTGAAGCATGAAGGTGGGTGATCATTTCACCGCGCCCTCAGACACTCACTTTCAGAGTACAAAGGGCTCCAGTGGTCCTAACATATGAAGACACAGCATGTACCTTCAAATTATACTGACATAGGTTAACACATCTTTCCTTCAAAAACTGCCCTTAGCTTAGAAAACGGGAGCCAGAAGTTACTTATACAGAGAGTTCTAAAACACAGCACTGTAAAAACAAAAGATTACGTGAGTGTATGCATAAAAGATCCTAGCTGAGGGTAATTCTGCTTTGAGGTCTTTGGTTATAATCTCATGTGCTAGCTTCCTTCATAAAGAGAGTTATAATAGTCATACCGTCAGCAGATTTTCCCTTCCTGGTTGTGAGTTTCACTGTTTCCCAAGTTCTATGCAGGCAGAGAACAAAGAAAAACAATCATTAGCGGCAAAGGGAAGAATGTTCTGTAGACATAGAACCTCATAATGCAACGCATGCAAATATGCTACTGAGAGTGGCCAAGGAGCACAGTAAAGACCTGTACTTCATCAGCCAACCGTGCTTTCTTGTCGCACAGGTGAAAATAAAGAAACTTGTCACCTCTCCCCCCAGCCTCTGGCCATCTAAGCGGAAGCGGCTGAGCACTGGAGCCACTGCGCCCTCAGAGCACTTTGGTTTGAATCCTAAGTCTACAGTCAGCAGCATAAGCTGGTAGTGCAGCTGTCCAGGCCTTCCGCAGCGGTGGCGACATTCCAGATGCATTTCCAAGGACAAAGGATGCCGTGCACAACATGAACCACTGAAATTATGCAGGTGTAAAATATGTGACCAAACCACACAATTCAAGAAAGCAGAACGTTTCACTTATCTGAGGAATTAGATTTTCTTTGCAAGAGTGCGGCTTTATGTAAGAGGACAAGGACAGGGCCCTAGAGGAAGCTGTGCAGTGCCTGACGTCATTCTCGCTCCCTTTTATGGCTTCCTTCGTGTTAGCGGTTTGTTCCTAGCTGCTTGCTCTCAGGTTTTGGTAGTATCTCTGCTATTCTACCTGCTCTTACAGGAACATCAGGTAGGGTTATATGGGAAATTGAGTTACAAGGGAGAAAAAAAAACACATTGTTCAAAAGAGGGAGTAAATAACAGAAAATTTCACCTCTTTTGGTTCTTGTCTCTTAGGAGGGGGGAAGCAGTGCTAAAATAATGCTGGAGGCGGTCAGGCAAACAAAGTTAGGCTGTGCTTTAAAGGTGGGTTATAATCTGGATGGCTCTAGGCTAAGTACAGTAAATTACAAGACATCCTGCTCCAAGGGGCTCTCTTGCTCATACTTTTTTTCCTGGCTGTCCTTGATGTCTGATTATATCACATTCCTACAAAAAGGACCAGCTATCTAATGTGGCTTAAAGCAAGAGTAAACACAAACCCTTTCTGTGAACTGCACACCTCTCGGCATTACACCCAAGTTTCCCAAGGCAAGCGTGTGAAAACAAAAACCAAACACACTGCTGTGACAACTCACAGTAGCCTGACACTCCTGTTAGTAGCAAGAAAGCCAACCCCAAGCCATTTCCAACACATAACACCGAGTACAGAGACAAAACACCTGTTGTCACAGATCTGCTGCCTCCTAAGGTTAGTCCTAAAGACTGAAGACAGTGCTGGGGAAAGTGCCGAAGGTCCCATCCCAATACACTAGGAATAAGGAAAACAGCAGCGGCGTTACAGTGGGAAGGGAAGTGAGTGAGCGGTAATGAGCCTACGTGAGCAGCAGTAGAGTCGATACACACTCCAAACACGACAACAGGAGTGCCCCCGACAGCTCAGACGCTCTCCTAGAACTCACGGATGTGGACTCGCTGGCAAGAAAAGCTCAGTCTCTACTTGTCTGCTGTGGCAATTCATTCAACCAGTACCTTTTCGGGTACCGGCCCTTTGGGCGTGGTCTGAGGTGCTACCTGTGGACTAATAAGTGCAGAGAAGCAGCGTGCTCGCTCTCGTGTGGTGGTTGGAGATTTGATCGCAGCTTTCAGTGCCCCCAAGGGCAGAGGACCCCGGTGGCTCTCTGCCTTATGGTTATTTGTGAGTGTCCCCCAATAAATACTTGATATCCCTTAATTTCGGGCTCTCATGGACTCACCCACACTTACACTTGCCCTCCAGCTAAACCGAAGCTACAACAGCTTGCTCTTTGTGTAACTCAGGGAAGAGTAAGTCATCTGGAAAAATCTCTTCCAGCTTTAGAACTGGAATTTCTATTTAAATTTAAATTACTCCAGTTGGCCTCTCCTTAGAGACCTAGAGCGGTTATCTCTAGCCCCTGGCGAGGTAGGGCGACTCAGCCCCATCTGCAGTGCCGATGTAAGGACTTAACATTAGTACTGAATACTTCTAGGATCCCTTCTTCCATGAATGAGACAGTAGTAAAATCATTCTCCAGCTATTTTTATCCTTTATAGATATGCTTTTCTTTGAGGTAACAGAGAATGAATGTTTATAAATTAATAAATCATGGTCAATCGTCATGCTTCAGAGCTAGACAGCATGGTAAGAGATATTAATTCAGTACATAACCCTTCGTCAGTGACCAGGGGGATTATGTATGGAAGAGGGGACGTCAAAGTGCTCCACATAGGCAGCAGAAACATGGTAGTTAGACTTACAAACTCATTCCCAAATTAAAGACTAGACTCTCTGGAATGAAACCTAGACACAGGAATCCTGAGGAAAAGAACACTAAATGACTGTGCCGGTAGTTTATGTCCCTTGACACAAGCCAAGAGTCACCAGAGAGGAGGGAGCCTCCACTGACAAAATGTGCAGGCCCGTAGGGCACTTTCTTAACTAGTGATTGATGCGGGAGGGTCCAGGCTATTATGGGTGGTGGCATCCCTGGGTTCTGTAGAATGCAGGGAAACCAGCCTTTCTCCAGGGCCTCAGCATCAGCTCCTGCCTCCAGGTTCCTGTCCTGACTTCCTCTGATGACCAACAGTGACATGAAAGCATGATCAAATAAACTCTCTCTTCTCCAAGCTGCTTCTGACCGTGTTGCTTCACTGCAGTAATAGTAGCCCAACTGGGACAATGACTTAGACATGTATTTCCCTGGTCAGTAAATACCCGAAGAGTAGTCAGGGAAGATACGAGAGGGCGTGAACTGACCCACATTCTTTAGATCTGTTAGTGTTAAAGGGTGTATTTTGTGCTACAAACTTCATTTTCAGAAAAAAGGAGTCAAACTGTTTCACTGTACAGAGTTCTAGCAGCAACACATTTCACAACACTGTATCACCTGAGGCTTAGGTCCTACCACTGGTGAGTCCTGGGTTTGCACCCATCCTCTATTTACTCCATCTTTAGCTCTGTCTGCTGTCTGTTAGTATGTCTCCCACAGCTCTCAAGTAATGGGTCTTATTAAGGTTTGTGCCAGTTCAGCAGAAACAGGTCAAGTTTGTTTCAATCACCAACAAATCTATGTACTGTCACTTTGGGAAATGTATTTGCTCACACACACACACACACACACACACACACACACTCACGATTCTTTCATGATTGTGTAGCAAGTGAAATTTTTTTTGTAATGACTTGGTGATATAGTCTGGATACTAAATTCAGCTTTATTCTATTTTATTCCTTATTACACTTCATTGAATAAATAGTAATCCTACTTAATACATTATTTTTTCCCTACTGGCTTACATTTGTGTGTGTGTGTGTGTGTGTAGGTTGGGATCAAACCCAGGGCTTTGCACATGCTAGGCAAGTGCCATACTCCGAGCTGCATCTACAGCTCTTTTCAAATATAATAGCCAGTAATGGCTTTGTTTTCTTTTTCTTCTAATGCAGGCATTAAAAATTGGTTTTAAACCAGGCAGTAGTGGCCATGCCTTTAATCCCAGCACTTGGGAGGCAGAGGCAGGCCACCTCTGTGAGTTCAAGGCCAGCCTGGTCCACGGATTGGGTTCCAGGACAGCTAGGGCTGTTACACGGAAAAACTCTGTCTCAAAAACCAAACCAAAACAAAAAACCCAAAACAACAACCACCAAGAAATTTGGGTTTACTAGAAGGAAGCAATCAACACTGTTGAGTATTCTATAGCTTGTTAAGCCAGAATCACACATTTTCGTCCCACAGTACTATGGAAAATGGAGTTAGACTGGGTATAGGAACAACTGTAATTCAGTTTGTTCAGGGATTATCAACGACCCAAGGGTTTAGCAATGGAGCAGGAGCTGGACTTGACTCTGTTTCAAAGAAAGCTTACAATGGTGACACACCTGTGTCCATGCAGACACAGAGAGACCTGGAGAAACCAAAGACAGAAAGAAAAGAAGGAAGTTTACCTAGTTTTACCAGTAGGATCCATGTAAGTTGTCTTTTCAAATTTGACCCATTTTCCTTCTGAAATCAACTAAAACAAAATCAGATAGTTATAAGGTAGGAAATGTTCAAATCAAGTTGGTCTTTTTTTAAAAAATCAAAACATGTATTGTTTTAAATTTTCTCTATGTCCCTTCCCCCCAGTAATTTGTGGGTAAGTTTCTAGCTTAAGTACTCAAAGTTGGACCCCTAAGTGTGGGTCTTTTTTTTTTTTTTTTTGGTAGAACTAGGAGGGAAAAGAATTGCTGTCTAGGGATGGAGTAGAGCAGGTGTGGCTCATTGCTAGTAGGCGCTTGGTATCTGAAAGATAGAAATACCTAGGCTGGGGAGAAAAAGGGAACCACGAGAGTACGGGTGTGGGGGGGAGAATCTTCGGCGTGTTTCTCCAGTTCAGACCCCGGGTTATACGTGCTAAGCTGACCACACTGGTGTGTAGTTGTATGTAAAATTTTATTAAGCTGGACGGTGGTGGTGTACACCTTTAATCCCAGCACTCAGGAGGCAGAGGCAGGCGGATCTCTGGGAGTTTGAGGCCAGCCTGGTCTACAAAGTGAGTTTCAGGACAGGCTCCAAAGCTACAGAAAAACCCTGTCTCAAAAAAAAAAAAAAATACTAGGAAATAAATAAAAAACTAGATTTTCTTTCTGATACCCAAGTCTCCACCCAATCCAAGACAGGCATCAGGAATTGCTCTGCCCATACAGCAAGGAGTCTAGGAATATAACTCACGTAGGGCACAGGGCAGAGCCGAGGAGATTTTCACTGTGATAATAGCCTTTTCTTACTAGCCCCATCCCACCTTCTTGCCAACACCAACCTAATCCTTATCAGATCTGTTCACAGACAACAGAGAAAGATTCTAAATCAAAAAGAATTCCACAAAAGTGTCAGGACCACAGTTCCAGGATGCATATGTAAAATTTATCCATAACAACAATTGGTTTCTCATAGAAAAAAGCCTTAAAAACTCTATTCAACATTAGTTCTACAGCTCAGTGAAATCTGAGCTACAATGAACAATAGAAGCTTTTTTTTCTTCCCGATACGGGGTTTCTCCGAGTAACAGCTATGGCTGTCCTGGAACTCTCTTTGTAGACCAGACTGGCCTTGAACCCAGAGAGATTTGGCTGCCTCTGCCTCTCAAGTGCTGGGATTAAAGGCATGTGCCGCCACCACCACCTAAAAACAATTTAAGTTTTTATTATTTTAAACATTTATGCTGGGATGACAAACAGCAAGATGTAATTACTGAATATGAAATCTCAAAACCACATACTATGCGCAAAACCACATATTATTTATTTTTTCTCTCCAGGGCAATTTTTAGAAAGAATTTCTCTATTAGAAGCCAAAATATATTTATTCTCAATTTCATTATACATATAATTAAGATGGATAAACCACTGTTCACAGACAACAGCAAAATGTGGCTTAGCCTTGAAACGGGAGTGAATAACATTTGCAAATTATCTTCAAGAATGAGAATCCCATGGTAATAAAAAAAAATAGCCTGCACATTCATTTTAAACTTAGTGTTATGTGGGGAAGGGAAAGGATAGGAAAAAGCAAACTCTACCTCCTCTGAAATAATGTGCTGTTTGGCGTTCTGAGAAGAATCTGTTGATTCCTGGTTCTCCATTTCAACCTAGCTGGTCTCCACAATCCTCAGGTGGGAAGTTCCGCTGTAATGGAGTGAGATTGGTCAGGCTCCCCCAAACATGAGTCTCTGGTCAAAGAATTGGAATAGATTAAAAAAAAAATGATAATGGACTAAACTTCTAAAAATGTAAGCCACCCCAATTAGTACTTTTCCTTTAAAAGAGTTACTGTGGCATGACGTCTCTTCACACCAATCAAACCCTAAAACAGCGGGAGACACAATCTCATGCTGTGGAATAAACTTCTTGTAAACTGTAAAGATGTGTCACTCTGGTTTAATAAAAAGCTGAAGGGCCAATAGCTAGGCAGGATTCCAGGCAGAGAGGACGCTGGGAAAAAGAAGGGCAGAGACGCCAGGAGACACAGCAAGCAGGATAAGCAATATGGAGATGAGGAGATAAAGCCATGAGGCAGAAAGAAATGGGTGAATTTAAGTTGTAACAGCTAGTCAGAAACAAGCGTAAGCTAAGACCGAGCTTTCATAATTAATACAAATCTCTCGGTTGCCTTTTGTGAGCTGGCAGCCCAAAGAAAAGCCCAACTACAATCCCACAGTCTCAGCTCAGCGCAAAGAACCGCAGGCAACTAAGGAAGGCTGAGAGTGAGAGAAATAATCTTCCCCAGGGAAGACGCACCAATGAGTTGCTCTATGCCAAATGGTCAGTCCTGAAGACGTACACACAGGTTAACATTCCACAGACTAAGCGGTTTATATTTAGGAACATAACATGTAATAATAATTAATAACAAAAGAAGCCGTGGGTTTGAAAAAGGGACCTAAAAGGGCATATGGTAGTACCAGGAGGGAGGAAAGGGAGGGGAGAAATACTGTAATTTATTATAATCTCAGAAGACTTTTTAAAAAGTATAAAAAAGAGACAGGTGAGAGTTAAGATGCAAAACTGAAACCAGAAACTAAAGTCAGACCCTGGAGTTAGTACGCTGCTCATGGCTACCATTCCTTGAATTGCTGCAATTTGTTCAAAAATGGAAAGTGAAACAAATCCTTACAAGAGGGAACAAGTCACTGCCTTCTCTCTGATAAAATCTGAGGAATGTTGTCGGCATTGCTCAACACCCTCCCGTCTAAGAAGTAGGACTTTGCCATTTGGGAGGCTGACACAGGAGAATGGCCTGAGGCCGCCACTTTGAAACCAGCCTGGATAAGATGGTGAGATATGAGTTCAAGAAAGAAAAAAGGAAAACAAAATGTAGACGTTCAAAGCCTGAGCGAAAAGCAGGCGGTTGCAACCGTTACATAAGGAGAGAAATCAACAAGGCGCTTTGAGAGAGCAGGGAAAATGTGGTTGTGTGGGGCACATACAAGCTTGTGTGAACACAGACAGGTGTGCTTGTGCACAAGTGTGTGGAGGCCTGAAGTCAGCCTTCAGTGTTTCTTCCCAGGAACTACCCACCTTATTTTTTTGGCGCGTAGCAATTAGCTTAGGCTGACTGTCCATCCTATCCCAGAAGCCTTCTGTCTTTGCCTCCCCAGCACTGAGATTACAAATTGAACCATCAACCCTGGCTTTTTCAAGGGTGTCATACTTAGGCATCTTGAATGATTTCTGACGTACTAAGTAAGCTATCTCCTAGCCTTAATAAAATGAATTAAAACTTTAAAAAGTTTCAAGAAATAATTTAGTATTATTGGCTTTTTTTTCTCTATGCAACAGCTCTGACTATCTCAGAACTTGCTTTGTAGACCAGCCTGCTTCTGCCTCCAGAGTGCTGACTAAAAGCACATATTAATACTCATAGACAATCACCATCCTCTGTCCTATCCAAAGGGGCCACTTCCCAGGGAGTTGAGATGAAGTTAGACTGTTACGACTGCATTTGTGTTAAGAGTAAATAATGGTTGAGTGTTGAAGCCCACACAGGACATTTAGAGCATCCCTGCCAAAGCTCAGAAGAACAGTACGGAAGATTGGGAGGAAAGAAAAAGCTGGCAGACAGGAAAAAGGTCTGCAAAATGCCATCTTATGGACAGCAACTACAATCAAGAACTTCCCCAAACTACTGATTACTGACAATGATTCTGCTCAACAGTCAGATAAGGATGGAGGGGGACTCAGGGGCCCCAACCCTCACTGCTGAACTATTTCCTACATACAAATTCAGGGACAGAGGGAATTACTGCCATCAGTTAGGTAGCCACTGGTGACTCCCCCACCAGCCTACCATGGACAGTCCTAATCCAATGGCCACATAGATGGCTCTGCCTAAACCGAATCAAGTCATGAATCTGAAGATTCATAGGTGTGTGTGGTGGGGAGAGAGGGTTACGTGGATGAGAAGCAGATAAGACAGGGTTGGAAGAAGCAGTACACACATGTCAAAGAATTAATTTAAAAAAATAGAAATTTCATTTAATAAAGAACCAAGAATGAAATAACCAGTATAATGTTAAATAATTTTAGTCATACCAAAAAAAAAAAAAAAAAGGCCAGGCGGTGGTGGCACACGCCTTTAATCCCAACACTCAGGAGGCAGAGGCAGGCGGATCTTTGTGAGTTCCAGGCCAGCCTGGTCTACAGAGCTAGTTCCAGGACAGGCTCCAAAGCTACAGAGAAACCCTGTCTCGAAAAACAAAACAAAAAAATTTAGCCATTATCCTAACTTTAAAAGTTTATTTTAAAAACCAGGATATATACACTCTTTTGTACTATACATGGCAAAAATTTAGCGCCCACATCAAATGGATTTCAGTGCCTGTCCCTTCACTGAAAATCATTCTCTGACTAGTCAAGAGATCTTGCACTCACACTGGTAGGGGTGGAACAGCACTCAGGTCCACAGTGTGTCCTTTCTCCAGGTAGGGATGGGCAACGGGTGATGAAGGGAGGAGCTGACATTTATTGAGATTCTACTACTCGGTGACTAAAATGTTTTTTCACCTTGGAATCATTCAGTAAATCCCCTTGCCCCTAATGGTACTGACATTTTAAAAAAATTAAAAAAACCTGAGGGCTGGTGGGACGCCTCAACCGGAGCTTGCTACAGAAGCCTGAGTACTCAAGTGAGACCCCAGGAGCCAACAGTGGAAAGAGAAAAGTGACTCCCCAAAGCCGAAAAGTGGCCCTTTGATCTCCACAAGCCTGCTGGACTACCCACCTGCACTGGTACACAGTACATATGATTATTTCTACCTTGTAAAAATTGAAAATAAAAACAAACGTGGTAGTTAAACACTTGCACATCTTCTATGTGTGGTGTCAGTTCATTGAATTCTGGCTAAGTCTGTCTGCAGCAGAACCTACTTCAGTACTAAAAACAGTTACTGAAAACATAGAATACAGGTTGGGTGTGGTTGTGCACGCCTTTAATCCCAGCACTCAGGAGGCAGTGGTAGGTGGATCTCTGTGAGTTCGAGACCACACTGGTCTACTAAGTAAGTTTGTTCTTTCTTTCTCCCCACCATCCCCAAGACAGGGTTTCTCTGTGTAGCTTTGGAGCCTGTCCTGGCACTAGCTCTTGTAGACCAGGTTGACCTCAAGCTCACAGAGGTCCGCCTACCTCTGCCTCCCGAGCACTGGGATTAAAGACGTGTGCCACCACCGCCCGGTTACAAAGCAAGTTCTAGGACAACCAAGGTGAACAGAGAAACCCTGTCTCGAAAAACCATGACAAACAATCAAGCCACAGAATACACAAGACTCTGTTCCAGTTTCCTTCTCTGTCCTGTCATCTTCCTGATGCTTACAATTTAGCTGATTCTCTCCAAATAACTGTCTCAGTCTCTGTGCCCAAGTGTTTGCTGGGCTGTTAAAGTATTGCTTTACCCAAATGAATAACGTTCCTGGGTCTGCTTTCTCCCATAGATCAATTCCTAACTTCAACAAAAAATACTTTACCCAAATGCATTCCAACCAGTGCTAATATTTCCTCTTACTGTAACTTTGTTTCCAGGTCAATTAAAAAAAAAGTATTAGTGGCCTCCCACTTATGCTCTGTCTCTTAGCTGTGCAAGCACCATCCCCCAGAAAAAGGAAGCTACGGATTATTGATGCTTTCCCTCAGAGGAGCAGCCAGACCTGGTGGTGCATCCCTTTGATCCCAGCACGAGGGAGATAGAGACAGGTTGATCTCCATCCAGGTTAGCTTGGTCTACAGTGTTCCTCAACCTTCCTAATGCTGTATCTCTTTAATACAGACAGTTCCTCATGCTGTGGTGACCTCCAACCATAAAATGATTCCGTTGCTACTTCATAACTGCAATCTTGCTACTATTATGAATCATAATACAAAAGTAAGATATACGGGATATCTGACATATCTGACGTGCAACCCCTGAAGGGTTGCGACCCACAGGCTGAGAACCACTGTCATAGCCCATTCCAGGACAGCCAGGATTATAGATACTTTGTCTCAAAGCGACAAAACAAACAACAACAACAAAAAACCACGGGACTAATTAATTCTGGATTTCACAGGTACTTGAATTGGAATCTTTGTCATTCACAACCCACCAAAGTACACTGCACCATTATAACCCATTTATCTTGGCTTTGAAAATGTGTTCTTTAAACAATACTTCCAACCACTTCACCTGTAACTTTTAAACAAGTTATAGTTCTGTTATGCGTGTATTCTAACTCAAAATACAAAGTATTCCATTGGTTAGTTCTAACAAATATCTTTCTAAAGAAGTCGACAGTGGCTCGGGTTCTATCTTTTTAAGTTAAACTGCTTAGACAGGCTAGGGGAAATATGCGGGGTTTTGTTTTTTTGTTTTGGTGGGGGTGGATATCGAAAATGTGGTGCTTTGGGACAAATACGTGTTTGGAGCAAGCCCAAGACTTGTAAATTATGGCAAATGGGTTTTAAAGCCCTATCTCTTTAAACTGGTGGTTTTTCCTTCTTTTAAAGAAACAAAACTGTACTTTGTAAGGAGACAGATGGAAATAGGAGTAGGGAGAAAAACCACAAGTTCACGTAAAAACTCTTTCAACCTTATGATTGATTTCACCATTGCAGGGACACTAATAAAATCTGTGCTTTTCCACACTGGTGACTTTTTCGAGACTAAACTAAATGAACTTTAAGCTTACAAAGCACAACTTTCCTCTTTCCCTTACTTCCCCAGACGAACATCGCCTCTTTCATCTCCAGGACCGTAAAATACGTGCTTCCTCCCCAGGATCGTGCATGCGGGATTTCTTCCCTGTGTCTCCTGAAATTCACTTTCGCTAATGAGAAGGGACCATTCTCGACTAGTGTGTTCAAATGTTTATTGTGCTGTTCCCTGGTTCCTCTCGTAGCCCAGGCTGGTTCGCCTGGATCTCGGGTACTCGCGCTTAGGCGCGGGCTGGGAAATACGCGCGCGCCTAGCTGCGTCCTAAGTACCATCAGCAGTGCTCGCGCCCTCCTGTCCCTTCCCCTCTCCGAGGACACTTAGTACCGAGATTGGCGCGCGCCTACTTACCTACCCTAAGCTGTGGGATGTGGAAGGGATGGAGGAGGAAAGGAAAAACAATCAGACAGAAGCTGCAATCTCCGTAGAAGCGGGCGCCACCACTAGAGACACCGGCGCCTCTCGTGGTGCAAGGAGGATTGTGCACACGTCCTCCTCCCGGCACCCGTAGAAACTCTGCTAGCTTCAGATGATTACCTTCCGGGTCGAGGTGTCTACAGAAGATAGAGGAGTTGTAAGCTTCCTAAAAGTCTATACTTTTCATGATGCTTCTCTCCGGACTCAAAGTCTTTTTGTGTCTCGCGAGTCTGTGCGGGCATGCTAAACGTACCCTCCACCATTACTTTAGCTTCTAGCGCCTCCTGACTTTTAACGGACCGGAAGAGTCCTTGCATCAAAACAGCTTGGTGGGCACTTCCGGAAGTGACACGCCGGGTTCCGGGAGAGTGCAGGCGGGAGAGAAGAAAGGCAGCGGTGGACGCGGCAGGTGGAGGATGAAGAAGGAGCATGTTAGTCACTGTCAGTTCTCCGCCTGGTACCCCCTCTTCCGAAGCCTTACCATCAAGAGGTAAGATGCCCAGAGGCGAGCTGTGATGTTTGGGCAAATCCCTTCTCCTTCAGAAAAGTAAACAAGAAGGCAGGCCTTCTAGCGACTCAGTGGGAGCGAAGGTATGGAGCTGTCGACTCCCTGAGGTTTGAGGTGACAGGATTAACGAAGTAGATCAGACATTTGCCGTGTTTCCTGACGCCAGTCAAGGCGCGTGTCGAGAGAGCTAGGAAAGCGGTGAGGGTCATAGGCAGATTAAATCGAGATAGATACTTTTGGAATTGCCAGAAGTGCCAGGCGATAAACAAAACCAAACCAAATTGGGTAGTGCGCTTTGCTGTTGACTTACCCGTCTGGTGACAGTTGAAGTTCCGTCACTGTAAAATGAGGGCGGTGCTACTGACCCGACCTGCAAGTTGGGAAGCTCCAGTGCGGTCGTGTATAGGAAACGTTAGGTGGTTACGTTGCTACTGATGGTCCAGTGTTCTGAGAAGCAGCAACCCAGCTGGAAAAAGAGTGGAGTCATACTTGTTCTCTAGTTCCCTGGCCTAGAACAAGGTGTCTACGCGGGTTTGCAGAATGCCTCTGGTGAATCCGTTATCTTATCACTCAAATGCAAGGCAGCTAAGAGACCATCTCCAGCATTCAAAAGCAATCGTAAGATCTGAAAGATGCAGATAGGCTTTCATTCACTAACAGGGATAGATTGTGTGTGTGTGTGTAACACACACATATACTTTGTTATGACACATGTGAACTTGTCAGTCATTTTTGTGCTGAAAATCCCTTTTCGTTCCTTTTGTCTGTCGTTTTGAGAGAGTCTGGCTATTGAACTGGTGCCCTTTCTACCTCAGTCTCCCAAGTGCTGGGGTTACAGACAGGCACCACCATTTCCTGTTCTGCACTGAAGATTCTTCAAAACTGCCCTTTGGTTTCTATGTAACTGTCTGTTGTAACCTCTGTCATAGTGCTCCTTTGTCTTAAGCAGAATAAGCATATGGTAATTAAAAGTTAAACTCTAGCGTCCGAACCATCTGTCTGCCTTTGAATTCTGGTTCTAGCAACATCTTCAGCAGATTTCTTAATCTCCCTAGCCCTCCTTTGGAAAACACAGAAAGTAGTAGGTTTATTATGAGTGTCACATGCTTAAAGTGCTGATACTCTTTCTAGTACATAATAAACACACACAAAACATGGCTTGTTTCCTTTTGAATTGAATAAACTCCCATTGAGCAAATTATTTTAATTCACTTAAAATGTATGCCATGTATGTGAAGACGGCAGTGGAAATAAGCTGGTGAATGGGATTGTCTGGCATCTCTAGACAGTCTATGCCTAAGCCGTGCTGCCTGAAACCACCTTTAAAATGTTTCTTTTAGTTAGTGTGTGTGTCTCTGTGTGTGTGTGTGTGTCCTAGGGCTTGAACCTCAAGTCATCAGTCTTGATGGCAGGTGCCTTTACCCACTAAGCTATCGTTTAGCAGCCTAAAAGCATTTATTCTGCTTTAAACCCTTTCCTTGGTCTGTCTAACCCAGCGGTGATATCACCAGCACCTAACAGGACAGCCCTTCACAGTCCAGACAGATGAGGTGATGGCGTATGGCAGACATTTTCTGCTTCAGTGCTGAAAACAAACATCCTGCCTATTGGCTTAGCATTAGTATTTGGTGTTTATTAGTTTTTGATTCAGAGCAGATTATGCAAATTCCTTTTTAAAAATAGTTTTATTTATTCTTTGAGAATTTCCTACATGTACACAGGTATTTTGATCCTAGTCTTGCCATTTCCCCCTTGCCCATCTCGCGGGTCTAAGAAACAGTGCATCTCCCAACTTCCTACCCTGCTTTTTTTTTTTTCTACTATCTCTCTCAGTTCAGTTAGTGATGCCTGTATAAGCACGGGAGTAAGGCCATCCACTGGAGTTGGGGCAATCTTCCAGTATCCACATCACCTAAGAAAAATGACTCTTTTTCCCACAGCAACCATCAGTTGTCAATAGCTCTCAGCTGGGAGTAAGGCATGCTGGGATTTTGTCTCTCTTGCTCTTTTGCTGGTTACCACGGCTACTGGGAGTTCATGAGCGCGGTGCCGCATACTGTGCAGAAAACAGCACGTCATCGTGCTCCTTGCAGCCTCGCTTACAGATTCCTACCCGCTCTTCAGCGGTGTCCCCGAGCCTCAGGAGTGAGGGTGATATAGATGTTCCCGTTAGAGATGGCCGTTCTACACTCATCCTCAGCGCTCTGGCTAGTTGTGATTTCTGTCTGTTTCTCTGGATTTGGGTGGTGTTTTGTTTTCTTATTTCATTGTAAGAACTTCTGTGGTAATTATATAAACTGCAGTGTCTATTCATGTTGTACTAGCTCCTGGTTTTTGCTCTGTTTCATGTTAAAATGATCTAAATATGTTTTTATTTTCACAAATGGTTATAAAATGACTTGTGTGGGATCCTTTCTCTCTGTTGTGGAATAATCTTTTTGTACAAAGATATGTCTTTGCCTAGACACCTTCTAATTGGTTTAATAAAGAGCTAAATGGCCAATATCTAGGCAGGAAGAGGTTCGGCAGGACTTCTGGACAGAGAGAGCTTGGGGAAAAAGAAAGGAGGAGTCACCCGTCAGAAGCCCAGGGAAGAAGACTTGCAGGAGGAGAGTTAAAAGCCATGAGCTATGTGGCAGCACATAGATAAATAGAAATGGGTTAATTCAAGTTATGAGAACTAGTTAGAACCAAGCCTAAACCTGGTGATGGTGGCGCACACCTTTAATCCCAGTGCTTGGGACGCAGAGACAGGCGGATCTCTGTGAGTTTCAGGCCCACCTGGTCAGCAGAGTTAGTTCTAGGACATTGAAGGCTACACAAAGAAACCCTGTCTCAAAAAACAAAAACAAAAAAGAAGAAAGAAAAGAAAAAGTAACAAGCCTAAGCTATAGGCCAAGCTTTCATACTTAATAATAAGTCTCCATATGGGTTTTTTATGAGCTGGCGGTCCCTCAGAAAATCTGTCTGCATCTCTCCACTGTGACTAGTCCTTTTGAATGATGTGTTTTGTTTCTTCCAGTGTCATTCTCCCACTTCCTCAGAATGTGAAAGACTATCTACTCGACGACGGGACTCTGGTGGTTTCAGGAAGGTAAAGCATATCAGAAAACAATCCTTTATAATCATCAAGAGCCAGTGTACTGATTAAATCAACGGTTTTGCATGGGTGAGTAGATTAGCCTAGGCACACCATCCTCTTCATTCTGGAGCAGAAGCGGATGGATCTCTGTGAACTCAAGGTCATCCTGGTCTACACACCAATTTCCAGGCCAGTCTACCACACAGTAAAGCCTTTTTCAAGATAAAGAAAGAAACAAGGAAGCAAGTCCTTGAGATTTATGTTTAGGTCCTCGGGGTTGTGCAGCAGGAGCTTTTACTCTTCAGCCCCTTGTTTGTTTGTTTTGAGACAGTTTTATCATATTCCCACACTCGCCAGCAGTTTATTGTGTGTGCAGGTTAGCCTCATTATTGCCTGCTGGATTTCTAGTGTAGCTTTCTGGATTTTATTTCTGGCTTCTTGGCATCGTTGCCCCCCCCCCCTTTTTTTTTCTTGTTTTTAAAATTATTAATTATTTATTTATTCCTATTTTATATCCATTGTTGTTTTGTCTGCATGTATGTCAGTGTGAGCTTGTCAGATTCCCTGGAACTGGAATTGCAGACAGTTGTGAACTGTCATGTGGGTGCTGGGACTTGAACCCAGGTCCTCTGGAAGAGCTGCCAGTATTCTTAACTGCTGAGCCATCTCTCCCGCCCCCTCTTTCTTTCTTTTTTTTTTTTTTTTTTTTTTTTTTTTTTTTTAGAGAGGGTTTCTCCGTGTAGCTCTGGCTGTCTTGAGTTTGCTCTGTAGACCAGGCTGGCCTCAAACTCAAAGATTTGCCTGCCTATGCCTCCTGAGTGCTGAGATTGCAGGTGTGATACACCACTCCCTGGCCATTGATAACCTTTTAATAATGTGAAAATTGTTAAAGTAGAGCCTCATTAGTGTGGTATAATTAAAGAATAAGGAAATAATTGAAAAAAGAGAAATAATTGCAAGCTCAGTATTAGGGTTCTGCCTAAGATGGTTAGTGAGTTGTTTACTCCCTGTATGTGGGAGTCCCTGAAGATGCTACAGCCTGCAGAGAAATCCACTTGAGGCAAGAAGGAAGTCTTGTTTAACATGACTCAGTAGCCAGGGCTGTTTCAAACTTCTAGAGTCTGACACCAGTTTATTTTAGACATTTAAGTACAGTACAGTTTTGGAAAAAAGTTTTCTGGTAACAATTATCTCAGTTCCACTTGCACAGTAAAGTTTAAGGTGTGACTACATAGAAACTCTTTTACAAAGTACACGTGTCCTCTACAGTAAAGATGGGTTCAGCTGGGTGGTGGCGGCACATGCCTTTAGTCCCAGCACTCGGGAGGCAAAGGCAGGCAGATCTCTGGGAGTTTGAGGCCAGTCTGGTCTACAGCACTAGTTTCAGGACAGCCAGGGCTGTTACACAGAGAAACCCTGTCTCGAAAAACAAACTGAGGGAGGGAGGGAGAGAGAGAGAGAGAGAGGGAGGGAGGGAGGGAGGGAGGGAGGGAGGGGCCGGGAGTCAAGAGGGAACCGGTTCAGAGATGGACTCATGCTTTGTGCTGTCCTGTAACAGAGCCTTTACCTCTGAGTCGGGACTTTATGATATCTGCTAGTGTCCAACCAGCTGTGCACTTGTCCAGTAACTTGTTGACTTGTACATATGGTAAAATCCGGTCTTCCTTCATTCTTGGCCCTGGGCAAGTCTTCTGTCAGTTAATGTGTCACTTGGGTCTCCTTTTCCATGTGGACCTCCTCATCCTCAGTAGGCTAGCCCTGGCTTCTTTACCAAGCAGTGAAAGCTTTCCAAAAGGGTGTAAGGGAAAGCTGTAAGGACTTCCGGTGGCCTGGTTCAGAATCAGGTGCTGTTGCTTTGGATAAATTATGTGGGTCAGAATGAGTCTTGAAGCTAGTCTAACTTAGAGGGATGGGGAAATACTGGAATGTGATGGGTGGGAAGGCAGAATAAACCTGCGAAGAAATAATTTAATTTTCTTCCTTTGTAGTCCAGTGCAGATCCAGAGTAATCCCTGACAGCATTGTGTATGCTCAGCTTTCCTGGTTTGCCCCCATGCTGTTCATTAGCTGTATGGGTAGCTCTTCCCATTTCCCTATGTGTCTGCCCTTATCTAGTTGGATCTTCCCTGTCTTTGCTGCCACTTTCTCAAATATTTGGGTCAGAGTTGTGCATGATTCTTTTTTTTTTTTTTATTAAAGATTTCTGTCTCTTCCCCACCTCCGCCTCCCCTTTCCCTCCCCCTCCCCCAATCAAGTCCCCCCCCCTCGTCAGTCCAAAGAGCAATCAGGGTTCCCTGCCCTGTGGGAAGTCCAAGGACCACCCACCTCCATCCAGGTCTAGTAAGGTGAGCATCCACGAAACTGCCTAGGCTCCCACGAAACCAATAGGTCCAGTAGAATCAAAAACCCGTTGCCATTGTTCTTGAGGTCTCAGTAGTCCTCCTTGTCCGCTATGTTCAGCGAGACCAGTTTTGACCCAGGCTTTTTCAGACCCAGGCCAGCTGGCCTTGGTGAGTTCCTGATAGAACATCCCCATTGTCTCAGTGTATGGGTGCACCCCTCGCGGTCCTGAGTTCCTTGCTTGTGCTCTCTCTCCTTCTGCTCCTGATTTGGACCTTGAGATTTCAGTCCGGTGCTCCAATGTGGGTCTCTGTCTCTGTCTCCTTTCATCGCCTGATGAAGTTTAATATTCAGGAGGATGCCTATATGATTTTCTTTGGGTTCTCCTTCTTATTTAGCTTCTCTAAGAACCCGAATTATAGGTTCAATGTCCTTTATTTATGGCTAGAAACCAAATATGAGTGAGAACATCCCATGTTCCTCTTTTTGGGTCTGGCTTACCTCACTCAGGATGGTGTTTTCTATTTCCATCCATTTGCCTGCAAACTTCAAGAAGTCCTTGTTTTTTACTGCTGAGTAGTACTCTAATATGTATATATTCCATACTTTCTTCATCCATTCTTCAATTGAAGGGCATCTAGGTTGTTTCCAGGTTCTGGCTATTACAAACAATGCTGCTATAAACATAGTAGAGCATATACTTTTGTTGTGTGATAAGGCCTCTCTTGGGTATATTCCCAAGAGTGGTATTGCTGGGTCCATGGGTAGGTTGATCCCAAATTTCCTGAGAAACCTCCACACTGCTTTCCAGAGTGGTTGCACAAGTTTGCATTCCCACCAGCAATGGATGAGTGTACCCCTTTCTCCACAACCTCTCCAGCAAAGGCTATCATTGGTGTTTTTGATTTTCGCCATTCTGACAGGTGTAAGATGGTATCTTAAAGTTGTCTTGATTTGCATTTCCCTGATCGCTAAGGAAGTTGAGCATGACCTTAGGTGTCTTTTGGCCATTTGAACTTCTTCTGTTGAGAGATCTCTGTTCAACTCAGTGCCCCATTTTATAATTGGGTTGATTAGCCTTTTACGGTCTAGTTTCTTGAGTTCTTTATATATTTTGGAGATCAGACCTTTGTCAGTTGTGGGGTTGGTGAAGATCTTCTCCCAGTCAGTGGGTTGCCTTTCTGTCTTAGCGACAGTGTCCTTTGCTTTACAGAAGCTTCTCAGTCTCAGGAGGTCCCATTTATTCGATGAGGCCCTTACTGTCTGTGCTGCTGGGGTTATACGTAGGAAGTGGTCTCCTGTGCCCACGTGTTGTAGAGTACTTCCCACTTTCTCTTCAATCAGGTTCAGTGTGTTTGGACTGATATTGAGGTCTTTCACCCACTTGGACTTGAGTTTTGTGCATGGTGATAGATATGGGTCTATTTTCATTCTTCTACAGATTGACATCCAGTTTTGCCAGCACAATTTGTTGAAGATGCTCTCTTTTTTCCATTGTATACTTTTAGCTCCTTTATCGAAAATCAGGTGTTCATATGTTTGTGGGTTAAAGTCAGGGTCTTCTATTCGATTCCATTGGTCGACTTCTCTGTTTTTATGCCAATACCAAGCTGTTTTCAATACTGTAGCTCTGTAATAGAGTTTGAAGTCAGGGATGGTAATGCCTCCAGACGTTCCTTTATTGTATAAGATTGTTTTGGCTATCCTGGGTTTTTCGTTTTTCCATATAAAGTTGATTATTGTCTTCTCCAGATCTGTGAAGAATACGTATTAGCTAATGATGTGGGAGTGATTTCTTACTAATAAAGAAACTGCCTAGGCCCATTTGATAGGCCAACCCTTAGGTAGGCGGAGAAAGCAGAACAGGATGCTGGGAGAAAGAAGCTAAGTCAAGGAGTCGCCATGATTCTCCCACTCCAGACAGAGGCAGGTTAAGATCTTTCCTGGTAAGCCAGTTCGTGGGCTACACAGAATATTAGAAATGAGTTAGAACAATATGTAAGAGCTAGCCAATAAGAAACTAAAACTAGCCGGGCCAGGCAGTGTTTGAAAGAATACAGTTTCCGTGTAATTATTTCGGGCATGAGCTAGCCAAGCGGCCGGGGTGTTGGGGACGCAGCCCCGCCGCTTCTTATTTCAACAAGGTAAGATGGAGATTTTTTTTTTTCTCCTGGTTTGAATGATTTTTGAGCAGGCAGAACGTTTTCTTCTCTTTCTAGCAGTATGCTCCCATTAATTCCATGTTTTGTCTGTCTGTGTGTCTGTCTGTATATCTATCTATCGCTATCTCTCTCTCTTTTTCTCTATCTATCTATCTATCTATCTATCTATCTATCTATGTATGTATCTATAGCTTTTTGAGACTGGGTTTCTCTGTGTGTGGCTTTGGCTGCTCTGGAACTCCCTCTGTAGACCAGGTTGGCCTCTAACTCAGAGATCCACCTGCCTCTGCCTCCTGAGTGCTGAGATTAAAGGTATGTGCTACCACTGCCTGACATTTATTTATTTAAATTCCGTATTATATTTATGTTTCAATAAGTGAACCTTCTTTTCTTTCTTTCTTTCTTTCTTTCTCTCTCTCTCTCTCTCTCTCTCTCTCTCTCTCTCTCTCTTTCTTTCTTTCTTTCTCCCTTCCTTTCTTTCTTTCCTTTTTTTCTTTTGGTTTTCTAGACAGGGTTTCTCTGTAGCTTTGGAGCCTGTTCTGGAACTCACTCTTGCAGTCCAGGCTGGCCTTGAACTCACAGAGATTCGCCTCCTTCTGCCTCCTGAGTGCTGGGATTAAAGGCATGTGCCACCACTACCTGGCCTGAACATTTCTTTATATTACTCTCCAATAGTAAAACTGTTTTGCTTTTATTTATTTATAAAATACAGTACATTTGAAATTATGTCTTCATGGCACCAAAGTATTTTTCTCACTTAATATTTGCTTTATGTTTTCTTAGGGAAGATCCGCCAACATGTTCCCAGGCAGACAGTGATAATGAAGCAGAAGAAACACAGGTCAGTAGAGAAAGTCTGTTTAGTATCTGTTCTCATTTAGACAATCTCTGAAATGCTTTTGACAGATCTTACCTTAGGTTTTATTGCATGAAAGTCTTACTTTGACTTAATATGTCAAATATATATCTACACATACATGGTATATATGTGTGGTATATGAGCTTATGCATACTTATGTATGTCCCCTGTGCAAGGGCACAGAGGCCAGTGAAGGACACCCAGTATTCTGCTCTGTCACTCTCCATTGTATTTCCTTGAAACATTCTTTTGCTGAACTTGGAGCTCACTGTGCTTCAGCTAGGCTAGCACTGGCCAGCAGGCCCCATGGATACCCTCCACCCCACTTCAACACTAGGGTTCCAGGACTGCACAGCTGCTTCTGGCTTTTTACATGGGTATTGACGATTAGAACTCAGGTCCTCATGTTTGAGTAGCAAGTGCTTTTACCTACTGAACCATCTCCTCATAGACTATGTTCAGGGAAAGGTGTCTCCTGTGTGTCATTTTTAGGTAGCATACTGCCTTAGTTATCCCAGTATAGTATTTAAACTTAATGTTTTCTTTCTGTCTTCTTGTCCATGCAGTGGTCCGATGATGAGAACACAACCACACTAACGGTAAGAGCAAAGCTGCACCAACATGGAGCAGGCTCACACTATCGTCCAAGAGTGCGCCTCAGGGCCTAAGTGCCTGCCACTGGGTTTATTGTGTTTGCGCTGGGATGGCCTACTGCCCGTGGGTTATCACTTACGTCATTGTTTAACAGGCAAGCATCGTTTGCCCTCTCCCCCCCCCCCTTGCAAAAGAAATATCAAAAGTACATATTTGATGCTCCACTTGATTCTATTAGGCCCTGAAAGATGAGATCAAGCCAAATATTAGCTCTGAGGTTCCCAGATGAATAGGAATTAAAGTGAAAAGTCTGTATTCATTTATTCAAGGATATTTAAATGGCATAAAGTTATTTCTTTCAAGTGAGACTGAAGTACTACTTAGAGGTGCTTTCGTTTATTTTGATTAAAGAGATACAGTTTCAAGGATACATGAAAAGATGTGGAGATGTCTAAAAGTGGTGTTGTTTCTTAGATTACCATGCCAGCAGATGCAGTGATGGGACATTTTTGTCTTGTTTATTCCAGATGCCATGCATATCACTCTTGTATATGAAAATCCCATTTAGCTCAGTGTGATTCTGTCATACTCAGACCACTAAACTGGGCTCTTGGAACAAAGATATTTGATTTCTGCCATCAGAGGGTTTGTAAACCAGGGAGCAGGATGACTTAAGGCGGGAGGTAGTTGGCCAGAAGGTCAGAGCAGAGAGAACAGTTAACTGAGGGCATCCAGAAATGCTTCAGTGGGAAGCAATATGTGGTCAAGATTTTTAAAATATAATATTTTTATGTACTCTTTGAGATTTCATATCTACATACAATATTTTTTGGTCATATTCATATCTACTCCTCCCCCTAACTTCTCAGACCCCCCTCCCATCCCCACGCCCAACTTGAGTCCTCTTTTTTTTTGATTACCCACCCACTTTGTGCTCTGTGTGCTCTCATGGGTATGCAGCCATCCATCCACTGATACACTTGACCTGGATCTTAATGGGGGTAAGGGTGATTAGTATATGAGCTCACATTTAAATAATATAGATGGGTAGATAATGTATGTGACTTAGTCTGTTCCTTCTGCTGTAACAAAGTATACTGGACAATTCATTTCTATCTACTTGTTAATATTTACTTATTATGTATATGTGTGCAGGTGCATATGCATATAGGTGTGCATGCACACATGCCCATGTGCATGTGAAGTCCAGAGGACAACCTTGGGTATCATTGCTAAGAATGTCATTCATAACTGGTGGTGGTAATTTCAGCTTGGGAGGCAGAGATGGGTGCAAATCTCTGTGAGTCCAAGGCCAACCTGGTCTACAAGACTATTTATTACACAGAGAAACCCTGTCTCAAAGGGAAGAAGAAGAAAGGAAGGAAGAGGGAAGAGGGCCTGGAGAGATGGCTCAGAGGTTTAGAGCATTGGCTGCTCTTCCAGAAGTCCTGAGTTCATTTCCCAGCAGCCACATGGTGGCTCACAACCATCTGTAATTTGATCTGGCATCTTCTTCTGGCCTGCAGGCAGGACACTGTATACATAATAAATAAATAAATAAACATTTTTTTTTTTTTTTTAAAAAGGAAGAATAAAAGGAACACCATTCACTTCATTTAAGACAGAATCTGTCAATGGTCAGAACATGCAAGTTAGGCTAGACTAGCTGACCAGAAATTCCCAGGTTTCTTTCTAGTCCCTTATTCTAGCTGGGAGATTATAAGTACGTACTTCAGTGTTGGCCTTGAGTTTTTATGTGACTTCTGGGGATCACTCCTGAAAAGCAAGTACTTCACACATAAAGAAATGGATTTCATCATGACATCTCCATACATGTATATCGTCACACTTCCATCAGACATCTCCATATATGTATATCTTCACATTTCCATCAGACATCTCCATACATGTATATTGTCACACTTTGCTCTTTCATTCCCCATGATCTTCCCCCCTCTCCTTGGTGCTCCCATTCTTAATTAGCTCCTCTTTCTGCTCTCATGTCACATGTATCCCCTTCCTAGACTGAGTAATTTAGAAATAATAGAAATTTGTTTCTCGTAGGAAATCCAAAAACAGGTACACATAGTGTCTGGAAAGAGGCTGTCACTGCTTCAAGATGGCCCCTTATTGCTGTATAAGACCGTGCTAAAGGAGGCAGGGGAGATGAAGAGCTGGAAGGTTCTCTGGTGTCCTTTATGAAGCTATTAACTCTATTCATGAAGGTATAGCCTCTCGTGACTTAACTTCCTAAACGTCAAACCTCCCAATATCACTGTGGTTGGGATTCAGGTTTGACATGAATTTTGGAGAGACACAAACTTTAAAATCAGAACAGTGGGAATGGGAAAAATGTTTTTTGCTAATACAGAAGTCCTGGGTTCAGTTTCCAGCATCCATATCAGGTGACTTACAACCACCTGTAACTTCAGCTCCAGGAGATCTCATGCTCTATGGCTTCTGACCTCTGTGAGCACACATTTCACATCAACCCATACAACAAATAAATGAATAAGTCTTGAAATCATTGCTAACTCTGTGTGTGTGTGTGTGTGTGTGTGTGTGTGTGTGTGTGTGTGTGTGTGTTTTCCCTGCTCCTGTGTACTGAGAAGTTGCAGAATCAGTGACATTCATCATGGTGGCAGGGAGCATACTTCATGCCTTTATGCAGGCTTTGAACACCATTCTCCACTAAACTGAAACTTAGGACTGAAGTTGGAAAGTGAAATGGACCCACAGTAGCTTGCTGTGCCAGACACCAACAGAATGGAAAAGATTGATAGGAGCATGACAAAAATCCCAGAAGCCAGCTCTCTGTAAACTCTCTAAAAACATCAAGGTCGTGAGCAATAAGCACCACAGAGAGAACCAGCTGTTAGAAGTTATAGGAAACATGACTGCAATGGATTCTAGATAAGAAAAAGGTTCTGGTTTTCCTTTTGCTATAAAAGATTGTGAGGAATAGTGGGCATGCTTCAGTACAATGAGATTAGGCAGTGATGTTCTATTTATGTAAGCCTCTTGATTGTGATTGTTTACTCTTTTCTACAAGGATGTTTAAACAGCTTTTTAGGAAATACATATTCATATTTAGGGGTAAAGGGATTAATGATTGCAGTGTGTTCTAAAACATCATGGGAAAAGAATTCACTGCATGGTGTAAATATAAATATAGACATGCCTAGATAGTAGGGTTTGGGGAACGACAATAAAGCAAATAGGGTGAAAGGAGAAAAGAGTCTGAATAGTATGTAGGCATTCTTGCTGCTCTTACATTCCTGGAAGTCTGCCATTATTTTACAATAAAAAGCTAATAAATATATTTAAGTAATTAAGCTCTCCAGATAGAAGTAAGTGGAGACAGGTACTAGGAACACTCATGGATGGATAACTCTTAGTCGAGGAGATATTGAAACCTGGTCCACTGAAGGAAAATCCGGAGTTTATCATTCACTAGTATAAGTTAAAAGCTATCGAATGAGGAACACCCATCCTTGAGAGGAGAAGGAGAGGGAGGGATGAATATGAATCACCTACTTATAAACCTAGCACTCAGGAGACTTGGGTGTGCAATCTGGATTGCAGTCTGGACACCATTTTGGGCTAAGATCCTTGGCCTTGTCTCAAAAACAAAGAAGGAAATACTAAGATTTCAGAAGCACCACGGTGAACTTGTATTTGGAAGTATTGCTTAAAGATAGTGCAACGTGGATTCATCTCTGTCCCTCCCCCAAGTCAAGTCATTAAAAGTGTGCGTAGAGACTGGAGACTATAGAGATGGCTCAGCAGCCAAAAGCACCGGCTGCATTTCTCGACAACCCAGGATTGGTTCCCAGACCCACATGGCAGCTGATAGATGGCTATAACTTTAGTTCTAGGGAATCTGTTGCCCTCTTCTGGCCTCTATGGTGCCAGACTTGGATATAACACAGTACATACACACGTACAAACAAAACAGTCATACATATAAAGTAAAAAAATAAAATCTTAAAAAATAGAAGTATGTATAGCAAGTCATAATGGTATATAAAATTCTTAGAGTACCATATTTATGGATAAGTGTGTGTACTGTAGAGTTAAAGTCATGAGTGTAGAAGAATATACAACAATTTTATAATGATGGTTAGGATTTTTATTCCTCTCAGTAATGTTTATCCTTTAAGAAATATACAACTAACGATTGGTTTAGCTTTGCTTCACTGAAAAAAAAAAGTAAAACAAAAACACATAAAAGTTTGAGTTAAACATGGCCAATTTTTGAATATTTCAATCTAGGAACATGAGTAAATGTAACTTTTATATGCATTTTGTAGTTTTTAAAAACAATTCAAACCAGCCAGTGCAGCGGTTGGATTAGTTGGGCGCCAAATGCAGCGGTTGGATTAATAAGCACCAATGATACTAGGTATTTGAACAAGTTTAATAACAAAACCAGACTCACGAAACCAAGGTTCCAGCGGAGTAGCCTGCGGAGACAGGAAGGAAGTGCGCAGCATCTGTGCGCCCTATTTATCAGTAAACATACGCCCAAGGGCAGCCCGCCCCCAAGGGGAGGGCTTATCCCTCCAAGCCAGTAGTGGCAAACACCTTTAATCCCAGCACTCGGGAGGTAGAGGCTGGCGGATCTCTGAGTTCGAGGCCAACCTGGTCTACAAGAGCTAGTTCTAGGACAGGCTCCAAAGCTGCAGAGAAACCCTGTCTCCAAAAATCAACCAACCATTCAGCCAGCCAACCAAACAATTCAGACCAAGAAAGAAAGAAACTAGCCTCTCTGATTGAGTGTGGTACAGATTGAGGTTAGAAAGGCAGCTGATGAGATCTCAGAAAGTCTAGGGGTTTCTACCTCACTCACAATGAGAACTTTCCCCTGGACAGCTGACTGGTGTCCGTGTTCAAGACTGGCAATTGAGCTGTGAGCTTGAAATAATATTAATGTCATCTGTTTATTAGTTGTTTTTATAGTATAAAATCATGACTACAATGCAGATATGAAACTCTTGATTTAACACATTTTTAAAGATTTTACTTTAACTCTTAGATGAACTAGGCAGTAATTAAAACTGGTTAAAAGATCAGACCGGACTCTCTGAATGTGGCTGAAAAGGAGGGCTGACTGAGAAGCCAAGGACAATGGCACTGGGTTTTGATCCTACTGCATGTACTGGCTTTGTGGGAGCCTAGTCTGTTTGGATGCTCACCTTCCTAGATCTGAATGGAGGGGGGCGGGGAGGACCTTGGACTTCCCTCAGGGCAGGGAACCCTGACTGCTCTTTGGACTGGAGAGGGAGGGGGAGTTGGGGAGGGGGAGGGAAATGGGAGGAGGTGGAAATTTTTAATAAAAATAAAATAAAATAAAACTGATTAAAAATAGAATGTAAAGAAAAGACAGTGATCAGGAGTATTATGTGAATATGTAATCCTTTGGGATGGGAGAGGTGGCAACTGGATCCCTTCAGGATATCCATGGAACGTCATTCTCATCGTTATGTGTTAGCTATATAGTTTACCAAGTTGTTCATAGTAGGGCATAGTGAAAAATCACATAATGGTGTGCTATATGTAAATTCTTTATAATTTAAATTTTTCTGTAGTATTCATAGTTTAGTATTTCATACGGTTGGTTGGTTTTGAGGATTTGGGAGAACCAATCAAATCTTTTAAACTGTAATAAATAGACCTGGGCTTAGTGGTGCATGGCAGTGATTCTTTCAGCAAAAGGGAGGTTGAGAGGTAGGGTCAAGAGCTCAAGTTTTGATTACGTGGTGATTCTTAGGTCAACCTGTGTACAAGAGAAGCTATCTCAAAAACAAAGCAAAACAATACAAACAAACAAACAAAAAAAACCCCAGGGTTTCTGCAGATTGCCTAAAGTGCACACAGCCCCAGAGTCGATCTTTAGCACTACAAAAACCAAAGCAAATGTATGAAATGTAGCGGTCCTTCCATACAATATTTTGTGGAGTGGGGAAATGGAATTATTTTGTCTTTATAATTATTATTTTTAAATTTTATGTGTATGGGTGTTTTACCTGCATGTATGTCTGCGCACCATGTTTATGTTTGGTGCCTTGGAGATCAGAAGAGGGAGTAGGATCTCCTGGAACTGGAGTTACAGACAGTTGTGAGCCGCTATGTGGGTGCTGAGAATTAAATCTGGGTCCTCTGGTAGAGCAGCCAGTGCTCTTAGGCACTGAGCCATCTCTACTGCCCCAGTTGTATCTTTTAGAAACTACTGCTGGTGCAGAGCTTACATAAGTGGCTTTATTGACAGCTCTAGGACATCCTGATCAGCAGCTCCTGGTGATTAAGAGGAAGTAATTTGCACGAGAGGGGTGGTACATCGTTTTGATGGAAGAGGCAAATGGGAATACAGGGTTCCGAACTCAGTTTTCATTGGGAGATCTTCATCACTCTGATAAGCTGAGTTAGTGGTAGTCTAGTGGAAGAGAGATACAATGCAGTCTATGAAACCATGAGAGAACTTGTTAACCAGCCTTCAGGTTAGCATCTGGCTTAGAATTCCTTTCTAGAGCTGAGAGTGTACCTTAGTATTGGAGTGCTTGCCTGGAACACAGGCCAGGGGTCAAGTTTTAGCCTACAAACCAAACCAAACCCACCACCAATGAATTGTTTCTAATTGGGAGGTATATTCCCAATTTTAAGAGCCTTTTCTCCCAGAATCTTCTCAGTTTTTTATTTCTCTTCTCTGGACTAGAACATGAGAGTCCATGGGTTTTGTAGTGTGTAGGTAATTATAGACTTTGTCAGAATATTTTTCTACTATGGAGTTTGATTAGATTTTTTTTCAGAACCTACGGTTGCCCAGTAGGGGTCAGCAATCCCCTCTCTAGAGGGTAATGTAGGCAGAGTGACAGGAAGCGTTTGTCAGTGTCCTTGTGTTCTGGCTCCCCAGAAAGCCCTGTTTCCACCCCTGTTGATATTTACCGAAAGCCTCAGGCAGGGCCTCTTGGCAATCAAGTGCATCTTCCTGTTGAATAGTAGTTTTTCTGTCACCTCCTGGTTGAAACAAACACTAGACTGAGTTACTTTTTATTCAAAAATGTCTGTTTCTCATTCAACCAAAAAGAAAAGGACATTTTAACTCACATAGACACTATTTGGGATTTTTGCTTGTATTAAAACTTGTCTGTAAATAGTAGTGTGTCACATCATGTATTTTTCATTTTTGCTGGCCCTTTTCCACAGATGGCCTGTTAAACATTGGGTAATATTTCTGAGAACTGGAGCGTATGTCCAGACATTACCCACCCCACCCCACCCCAATCTCTTCTCTTGACAAATACCAGTTCTCCTTAGTCCATTTGTGTGTGTCCATGGAGGCCAGAGGAAGATACTGGGTGTTGTCTTCTGTCGCTCTTCCTCTCATTGCCTTTAACCAGGGTCTCTCAATAACCTTGGAGCTCGCCATTCAGCGAGGCTGGTTGGCCAGTGAGCCCTTTTAATCTGCTGGGGTTACAGACATGGGCAGCCTCGCCTGGCTTTTGTACTGGGGTTTAAACTGAAGTCCTTATGCTTGATGTGCAGAGCACACTCTATACTGCTTTCTCGCCATCCCCTTAGCCCAGCTGGCCTTGAACTTGCTATAGCCAACGGTCCTGAGCTCCTGATTCCCGTCTCTGCTTGCCAGGTGGTGGGATTACAGGGCATATGCCAGCTCAGTTGGCTTTAGATGCTGGCATTATGTAAGTATTCAGAAAGAACAAGTGATTTGTTCCTCTTGTACCGTGTACTTGGTGACAGACATCTGTATTTCCAGAGATAAGAGTTTTGATTGTTTTAGGAAGTACCCTTTGAGAAGCTGATTATTTCTCTTTCTAGTAAAATTATTTTCTTGCGGATTTTATTTAGTCGAGTGGATGAATAGGAACAATAATTTGTATTTTAAAGAATTCTGTTTTTAACATCCTAGCTACAATCTTGAGACATTGATCATATTTTCTGTGACTCTAGTGATACTGACTTGTTCATGATTTGTTCTCTGTCTCTATAGGCACCAGAGTTTCCTGAATTCAACACTCAAGTCCAGGAAGCTATCAATTCCTTGGGGGGTAGTGTCTTCCCTAAGCTTAACTGGAGTGCCCCAAGGGTAGGTGCACATAAGAAAATCTTTTTATTTGAATACTTGTTTGTTTTGCTCTTTATTTCATTTTCTATCCCCATGGAAGATTTGATTATATTCCTAATTCTAGAAGAAATGCTATTGAGTTTATTATCTTTTTTCCTCTGTTTTATTCTTTTGATTTTGCTGTGTGTACTTTCCTGGGTCTGTGAAATACTATGCATTTTACCAAAAGACAGTTTGATCCCTTGTGTTGCCCATTGTGCTAGAATTTTCTTTATTTCAATAGTCTGCAGTTCTTAAAATGTCACTTTCTTGGTTGAGCAAGATTTTCTCTGCTGAAAAGTACTAATAAATATGCTGGACCAGAGAGCTCAGTGGGATCGCCTGATAACCCAGGTTTAGTCTCGGGACCAACAAGGCAGGAGAGAGCCAACCCTTGAAAGCTGTCCTCTAGTCTTTGTGTCAGTACACACCCCTCACACACATGAGCTGTGCACAGCGGCAGGAAGTGTGTATTCACTCTTGGCGGTGCCTTCGGTTTCTCCCAGTATTAAATGTTTTCAGTGGCTTTCATTTTGTAAACACCACGTACTCACTGGTGTATTCTTACTATGATTATTAGTATGTTTTATTCCATATTTTACTTTCCTTGGAGTTGGTAGTTGCATTCTTTTGTTTTTTTCTAATTCAACTGTGTGGTTTGTTATGTAAATACTGATGTCTTAGTGGAATTAAATGCTAGGTATTCTTCCTTTAACCAGAAGTTACTGCCTTTTTCATTGGGAGAAATTATAAAGACATCATGTAGATGTTTTTAAATTCATTTTTAGTTTCCCAGTCAGATTTTCATCTCTATCTGATGGGAAGATTATTTTTGGTTTTAAATTCCTTATTTGTCCATTTGTTTATTGATTTTATTTATTGGCTTGTATACACCAGTGCTTTCTTCTATGTAGTGTGGATAATTGGATAGTTTTGGTAATTATCAGTGTTTTTTTTCTTTTCTCTTCCTCCCAGTGTTTTCAATGAGTATTTATCCTGTGACTATGGAAGTGGGACTTAATCACACTGCACTGAGCCTTGCTCCCTTATGTTTTGTTCGCATGTCCAGCGTAGCCACTGTTTTAGGATGTGATGGTTGAAACTGTTTCACTTTCTTCCTTTCTGAATGAATACATAGACTCTCAACTATGCTGGCCATCCAGCCCCAGGTGTTTGTCATTCTTCCCAAACAGGAAGGATGGAAATGACGACTTTTATTTTGGACAATAGCTGTTTCTTTGCCATTGAATCTTTTAGCTATTGTGTGTGACTTCATTAACTCGCCTTCCGTATTAACATGAAAAACACTGGAAAATACTTGGCCCTGGGCTGAAAAGTGTGGGTCCTACTATCTCAATGTGCACAACTGCCCTTCTTTTTAAAAAGTTGTATTTGTTTGTTTGTTTTGTGGGTGTTCTTGTGCATACACACTTGAAGGTCAGAGGACAGTTTGTGGAACTTGGTTCTCTTCTCCCATGTGTGGCCCAGGTATTGATCTTCAGTGATGAAGGCTTTGGGGACGTGCCTTTACCGACTGAACCATCTTGGTCTTCAGTGTACATACCTGAGTTTGGCATGCCCTTGTCATGCTCTTTCTGTTAAGAAGTGTGTTTGATATCCGACAGTTCTACTAAAATTTTCTTGGCCGTTTTCTTTAAACCCTTGAGGTGCTGTGAGCTGTTGCTTTCATTTATGTGCCTCAGCTGCAGCTGTGGGGTGTGTCTTAACTCACACATGTTTATTATTTAGGATGCATACTGGATAGCAATGAATAGTTCTCTGAAGTGCAACACCCTCAGTGACATCTTCCTGCTGTTCAAGAGTTCTGATTTCATCACTCGTGACTTCACACAGCCGTAAGTGTTTGTGAGTACCTTCCTATTGGTAAAATTCTACTCTCTAATGCTGTACTCTAACAGTTTTGCATCATGAGCTACTTGTGGCCCGCAAGTGGTATTTTCAAAGCAGACCTTTCTTTTTCTTTTGCAGCAAATGCTACAATGGGTATGCTTAACTACCAACACAGTATAGATAAATAGATGATAGATAGATAGATAGATAGATAGATAGATAGATAGATATAGATATAGATAAAAAATTTTAGTAATTTTTCCTATTATAAAATTTAAATATACTTATAAGAACAAAATTAGTAACTACTGATAAGTAAAAAGCAGGAAAGCATGGTGAGCTCACTACATAATTAGCTGAATTTTTATTTTTAAATAAGTGATCATAATGATAGGCCACTAAAACTGCTGATAAAACGTTTATAATCTCAAATGAAGTTCAGCAGTAGCCTCAGGAGTAAACTTTTGTGTATAAGTGGACTTGACGTAACTGTGCCACTATCATTTTTCAGTTGTATATATTTAGATGAAAATATATGTGCTTTAGATGGTGTTGGTGTCTTAGCTACTTTTTGTTATGATGAAACACTGTGACTAAATAAAGAGTTTATTGGGCTTATGGTTCCAGAGGGTTAGTGTCTGACGTCAGAGGGAAGGCATGTGGCAGGAGCAGCTAAGAGTTCACATCTTAAACCATGAGCAAGAAGCGAGAACTCTAACTAGGAATGGTATGGGGCTTTGGAACCTCAGGCACCCCAGTCCCACCGTAGAGATAGACTTCTTTGGCAAGGACATACCTAAATGGGCCAAACAGTGCAACCAGCTAGGGACCAAGTGTTCCAGTGTCTGCGATAGTGGAGGACATCTCGTCCAAACTACCATAGGTGGTTTAATTTTTAGATACAGTATTTTGCTTCTTTGGAGAAAAGATCTATGAAAATTCTAATGAATCATCTAATCACTCTTACTTCACTTTTTTTTTAATCTTTCACTTTCTACCATAGTTGAAAATGCTAAAGAAATGGCATCTGCATGCCAGAACTCTTGTTTTGCCTTTCTGAACAACATGAAGAGCTATACCACCAAAACTTTGATGCATCATTTTCTCCTTGCTCAAAATTTGTCCTTTGTCTTTCTGCTCATGATTTATTTTTTTCATAAAATTAGGCCTTGGTTAGTGTGAAGCACAATGTTGTAATTTTTCAACTTTTTTTTGTTTGTTTTTTTCTGAAGAGAGAGGTCTTACTATGATCAGATTGTCCCTGATGTCTGCTCAAGATGAGCTCCTGGACGGGCTCCTTTCGACTTTTCTCTTCAGCCTCTAGATGGCTCAGCATCCCCTTCATAAACATACTTGGCCATCTGGTTAGTCATCTCAGTAAGAAAAAGCTTACAGCAATAACCTCCGGTACCACATATGTTCTCAAACTACTCATTTTAAAAATTACATAAATGTTAAACTAGCTAAAAATAATGTTATAAGGTGATAGAATGTAAATATGTATATAAATATACTTACTTTTAAGTAGTAATATGATGACTAAGACTCGGAATTGGTATTTGTAAGAAGCATTATTTTTAACAAGTGGAGTCGGGGCAGTGCATCAGCAACGTGCAAGCATGCGGACCTGAGTATGGGTCCCCAACACCCACATGTAAGCTGGATATGTGGTCCTTGCCTGCAACCCTGGCACTAGGAGTGGAGGGGTCAGACATGTGAGTCTGATGGCTGGCACTCAGTGCCTGGTCCACAGATGGTGGAGCTGTTGGGGAAAGATTGGGATTGTTAAAGGAGGTGTGTCACTCGGGGGTGGGCTTTGAGGTTTCAGAAGCTCACACCATTCCCAGTGTCTCTCCCTGTCTGTGCTTGTGGATCACGATGTAGGCTATCAAATACTGTCCATTGCAGTGCCTGTCTGCCTGCTGCCATGCTCTCCACCATGATGGCCATGGACTCTAACCCTAGGGAACCACGCTCCCCAGATTAAATGCTTTCTTTTATAAGTTGCCTTGCCCAGGCGTTTATCTTGACAATAGAAAAGCAGCTAAGGGCCGGTGGCGGTTTTGCACGCCTTGGGAGACAGAGGCAGGTGGATCTCTGAGTTCAAGGCCAGCCTGGTCTACTGGAGCTAGTTCTAGGACACGTTCCAAAGCTACAGAGAAACCTTGTCTCATAAAACCACAGTAAGAAAGAAAGGGGGGGGGGAGGGAGGAAGGGGAAGGGAGGGGAAGAGAAGAGAAGAAGAAAAGCAGCTAAGGTTCTTAATACGGAACCTACGGTCTTGATTATGATTTTTATTTTCAAGACAGGGTTTCTCTGTATAGCAGTCCTGACTGTCCTGGAACTCACTCTGTAGACCAGATTGGTCGCAGACTCACTGAGATCCGCCTGCCTCTGCCTCAGTGCTGGGATTAAAGGTGTGTGCCACCACCGGCTGGCATGATTTTTTTCTTTTTTGACCTCTGGTCCTTTGTTTTTTCCTTCCTTCCTCTCCCTCCCTTATTCTCTCTCTTCTTCCTTTCCTCTGTCTTCCTTTCTTCACTTTTTAGTTTTATTTTCTTACGCACTTTAGCCCAGGCTGGCCTGGAACGCACTATGTAGTCTAGGTTAGCCTAGAGTTCAAGGAAGTGCTCCTGCCTCAGCCTCCTGGGTCATGGGATTCCAGGCATGCACTGCTACACCAAGCAGTTCCTGTTTTCTTAACATGCATTGGATTACTTGTCTTATTTGTATGGGTACTCTAATCCAGAGTACTTACTTGGGTGTCAGAACCTAGGAACTGTATTAATATTTTTAGTCTTATCATGCTGCTGGTCCTGGTGAGGAAAAAGTGGTTATTTTTAGAGACTGAACAATTGTATTAATTTTTATTAACCTGACATTTCATGGCCCCAATTTTGATTAACATAAAACTACCTGTAAGATTCATTTTTGCTTAAGAAATTTTAAATATACTCAAAGCTAGTGTTGGAATATAGCTCCTTTGGGTAATATACTTTAGATAAGCTTGAAGAAAGGAATTTTTGCTTTCGAGGGAAAATAAGGTCTTCAGATAGCACTACTCTGTGCTAGAGTATGTTAAAACAGGTTCCCCAACTTTCTCATGGAGATATGATTTAGTTAATGATAAATTTTTCTCCCCCCTTCCCTCCCTTTCCTCCCTTCCTCCCCTTTCCTCTCCCTCTCTCCCTCCCTCCCTCCCTCCCTCCCTCCCTCCTTCTTTTCTTTCTTTCTTTTTAAACTTTTTTCGAGACAGGGTTTCTCTGTGTAGCCCTGGCTGTCCTGGAATTTCCTTTGTAGACCAGGCTGGTCTCAAACTCCTGAGTTCTGGAATTAAAGCCGTGTGCAACTACAGCCTGGCTTCTTTTCTTTTTCAACACTGGTACTTCTTTAGGCTAAAGTCTTGTCAGTATGTATATATTGTGTGTGTATACACATACCTCTCTCTCTGTCTACCTACTAGGCTTAACCTAAGAGCTCTAGCATCTCCATCCTAGACACGTGGTGCAGCTTGTGACTGAATGCTTCTTTCCCACTTGTTACCTCACCCTTCTGAGCCTTGATAGCTCAGATAAATGGAGACAATATGACAGCTCTTACTGTAAGGTTTAAGTGAGACGGCAGCTGAGAAAGGCTTCCAGCCATGCTTGGCACATGTGATGTTCACTCCTGTAAAAACAGAGTCCACTGGTGTGGGTGCTGGGAATTGAACTTGGGTCCTCCAAGAACAATACATTCTTAACAACGGAGCCATCTCTCCAGCCCTGTTCCTTTTTTAATCCCTCGCTCTAAGTTAGAGTGATTTGGCCCTCCCAGTGGCCTTGTATGGTAACTCTTCTTCTCCCTCGCCCCTCCCATTGCCTCATTTAGCCTTTCCTCTCTTCCTGAGACTGTTGTAGTAAGCCTTCTCACTGTCTGCCTCACATTGCTAGTCTTTCCCCCACGACCTTAAAACTTTGTGCCATCCTGATAGTTTTAATGCAATGAAATGTAGTAATCTCCGTTATAGTCCCCACCACCACCCCTGGGACCACATCATCTGTGTTTCCTCCTTGTTTTAGCTTGCTTTTCTTTTGCTGTGATAAAACACAGACTCAAAGCAACTTGGCGCGCAAAGGATTTATTTTATCTTACTGCTTACAGTTATTATCAATGGAAGCTAAGACAGGAACAAAAGCAGAGACCGTGGAGGGGTGCTGTTTACTGACTTGCTCTTCGTGGCTAGTTCAGTTTGCTGTCTTACACAACCCAGGGCCACCTGCCCAAGAGCACTGCCCACAGTGGGATGGCCCCTCCCATGTCAACCACAGGCCAATCTGATGGAGGTAGTTCCTCAATATGGTTCCCTCTTCTCAGGTGACTTTAGTTTGTGTCAAAGTGAAGAAAAATCTACCCAGCTCTCCTTATCAAAATTTTCACCCATCCTTATCACTGGCTTCCCCTTGTGTTCCGCACACCCATGCTAATCTCATGTAGCTCTTTGCCTTCTCATTCGCTTCCTGCCCTGACACATTTCCCTTTGTCTTACACACAAGCTCTTTTCCTACTTCCTCCTCTCCCTCCCTCACATGACAGCCAGCCAATTGGTTCTTCATTTGTGATGCCAGAGTATTTTAGTTTATTCACCTCAGTGTTCTGAAATTGTGTGTACCTGCTAGCTTTCTCTGCTACACCTCTTAAAGGACATGAGAGGCCTAGTTGTTTTTGTGCTTCTGGTGCCTGGCCTAGTGCTTGGCACAGATGGACGTTTTATGCTGGTGTATGTCATTGTTCATGGAACAATACTTAGAGGGGGGTGTAGTGGGCGGCTGAATTGTTCTGTCAAATATTTTTTGAAATGACAACCACTTTGTGTGGCTGTCAGTGGCCAAGTTAATGTTCATGGAGCCACCGTCAGCATGCTGACTCAAGCACAGAGTGAGCACTGAGGTGGAGAATGGATATCATCCTGCCTCCATTGGAGGAGTATGATCACTTGTGTGGCTCCCATTGGGAGAGCTCATGGTCGTAGAGCAGTCTGCAGTCTGGAGTCTCAGCAGCTGGACCAGCACTGAGAGGGTGTACAGTGGCATCCTACCTTCACTGAGAAGCTGGGCAGCCTGTGTTGTATATAGTCCTAGCCTGTTTATGAAGTTTGGACCCAACAACAGAAAAATGGAGATTATGAGTAGTGTATGAACTAACTCTTCATGCTGTTTTGAGGATTGACTGAGATGACATAATGCATAACACTAAGTAATACTTAGTAACTGTTGACAGAATTTGCATTAGTCCCTTGTTTCTGGATACTTTCTATGAAATCTGATTCTTACACTAATTATGAACATGTCTATGCATAAACTAACATATTAAAAAATACTCAATTGCATTTTTTCTCTCCAAAGATTCATTCATTGTACTGACGATTCTCCAGATCCCTGTGTAGAATACGAGGTAAGCATCTTTTTGCCTTTTATGACACTAAGAATCCTGGTCAAAGGTCATGAACTAGTGCTTCTTATTTGTAAATGAATAAAAAAAATTTGGTCTAATTTCTCTGGTAACTTAGAAACACTAAATTTTTAAACTTCAGAAATTTGTCATACATATAGAAGAATATGTATCGTTCAGGTGGGGCATGGTGGTGCACACCTTTAATACCAGCAGAGGCAGGCAGACCGCTGAGTTCAAGGCCAACCTGGTCTGCAAAGCAATCTTCAAGCTAGTCAATGCCACACAGTAAGACTCTGTCTCAGAGAGAGAGAGAGAGAGAGAGAGAGAGAGAGAGAGAGAGACAGTCTTAGTCAATGTTCTGTTGTAAAGAGATACCATGACCATAGCTACTCTTATAAAAGAAAACATTTAATTAGGGTTTGCTTGCAGTTTCAGAGGTTTAGTCCATTATTGTCATTGTGGGAAACATGCTGACATGCAGGCTCCTTCTCTGTTTATCCTGCCTGCCAGCCCCGGCTATCCTTGCTCCTGCCTCACTATTGGCCGGTCAGCTCTTTATTAGACCATCAGGTGTTTTAGACAGGCAAAGAATCACAGCTTCACAGAGTTAAACAAATGAAACATAAAAGAATGCAACACATCTTTGCATCATTAAACAAATGTTCCATAGCATAAACAAATGTAACACACCTTAAAATAATTTCTACAACACCTTTGTGCTTTTTACCCAACCAAGTCTGATTCAGAGCCTGTACTGTGCTGTGACCTGTGTCTGCTAGCCAGGGCCACCACCTACCAGCTCCTCCACAGACTTCCAAATAGCACCACAAGCTGGAGAGCAAGCAGTGGAAAAGTAGGATCCTGTGAGGGAGACTCCAAATCCAAATTACACTGACAGGAAAAACCTTATCCTCGCTTTCCCTCTGTATCATTCATTGAAGTATAATACTGGCTGGAATGTCATCGTTTAAAGTTAAGATTTGCTTACCAGTCCTTTGCCATTGAATTGCTTTTGTTTTGAAACAGCATCATCATGGTAAGAACACAAGAGTTAAAGCTAGGGAAGTGATATTCCTCAAGTAATTAAAGTGAAGAATGTTGCAAGTAGAATCCCATGTAGCATATGCTTCTGTCTGTATTTTTAAAAATGTTTCCATATGCTATATACTTACGTATTCCTGGACTACTTCTAGAAAGACAAATAAGAACCAGAAAGTTCTGGCTGCTTCTGAGGACAACAGAAAGACTGGGCAAGGAGAAAGACTCTACCCCTTTGTGCTTTAAAATCAACCACTGTGTGTGTTGCTTGTTGCTGTGCTATAGTAGCGTATTTGTTGCTAAATAAAATTTCCATAGCCATATTTTCACACATACCCTATTCCAAGGCCAACTTTAATACATAGGAATGTATAATATTTTAGTTTGATGTTTATTTTTATTTTTTAATTTAATTTGTTAATTTAATTTTATATGTGTTTTACCAACATATATGTCTATGTATCATGTGTGTGCTAGGTGCCTATGGAGGTCAGAAAAGGGCATAGATCCCCTAGAACTGGAGTTACAGGAGATTGTGGACTGCCGTGTGGGTTCTGGGAACTGAACCCAGGTTCTCTACAAGAGCAACAAGTGCTCTTAACTACTGAACCATCTCTCCTGCCTTTTATCATGTTTTTAAAATACCACATTTGCGAGGCTTGATTCAATGCATTTCTGATCTCTTAAAATGAGTGTTTTGACTGGGATACTCTAAGGGCTTTGAGCTTCTTAAGAAGCTTGCTCAAGCAAGTGCTCACCACTGAGCCAAACCTAAACCCCAACTGGACAAGAATGTGTTTTGTCCTAACGTGTTTCAGAACGATTTCTTCTTATTAGAATGATAGGTCGCAGCTCTGTTGCCTGCGTCTCATGTCACATCTCCTCGTTAAGTGGCCTCTTTTTCTCAAACCACTTTTATGGCATCATCACAATAAGGTCTTGATGAGAAAGGGTCTGAAAGGGTCTTCTGGTGTACTTCTGTTATATTTATCCATTTGTCCATAGCTTGTCCTCCGAAAATGGTGTGAATTAATTCCTGGGGCTGAATTCCGATGTTTTGTCAAGGAAAACAAGCTTATTGGTGAGTTTTTATCCTTGAAGGTAATCTTTAATGCGTATGTGTTTCCAGAAATTGAACCCAGATCCTGGTATGTGCTAGGCAAGTGCTCTGTTACAGCCCTAAACCCAAAGTAATCTCCAAAAGAAGATGGCTGGTGAGGTGGCTCAGTGGGTCCAGGTCACCAGGTCTGATGACCTAAGTTCAGTCCCTGGAGCCTACATGGTGGAAGGAGAGAGCTAACTCCCGTAGGTTGTTCTTGACCACCACATGAACTTGTTTGCTTGCAGGGGTGTGTTCACACATGCCTGAACAGGAAAATACACACATATACACACACACATACACATAAACATTTAAATGATTAATATTGTTTTTAAAAGAGAAGGATAACTATGTTAATAAATTTTAGAATTTTGTTCTTTTGTGATCAAATTGTATTTCATTGTGTGAATATATATTTTATCATTTTTATCATACATATTTTAAAATGTCACATCACACTATTTCATAAGTAAGTACAATTTTCATGTTTAAGTACAATTGTCATGTTTCATTAAATAATAAAATAGCTAAAGAAAAGAAGGCAAGCTTTTGAAGGAATTAACTTAAGTGATTAGGGCAGTTTTGCTTCCAGCTGCTGCCTCTGTTTGATAGAGTCTTGAGCCCTGTGTTACTGAGGGTCCTGAGCCTATGTTCGACTTCCACACAGGAAGGTGGCATTGTTAGTCTTGTCTGGACTCTAGAGATGGAGGGGACAACTGTTCCCAATCTCAACACACAGTGTCTGGAATATTAGAAAGTTTTGTGTTACTAGCTATAACGTGCTTGTAAACATCATAAAAAGCCAAGTTTTAACAGTCTTTCTTTCTTTTTTTAAAAAAGATTTATTTTATTTAGTATTGTATCTGTGTTTCTGTGTGGGGTTATACACACACAGTGCAGGTGCCCATTGGATTTGCCTGGAGCTGAAGCTGAGGGAGTTAATCCTAAGAAGTCTTAACGTGGGTGCTGTCCCCTGTACTCAAGAACCGTCTGTACTCTTAACTGAGACATCTCTCCAGCCCCCTACAATCTTTATTTCTGTTAGTAGGGCACTGTTTATTACATGAGCAAAAGAAAATATATTCAACAAACAAGTACATTGTGTTCTTGCCTCTGAAGTTATTATTTTGTTAGCTATCACTTATTCAAGCTAAATGCTGAAGATAATTTCTTTTAAAATTTTCAAATGCATTTTTAATGATTTATTATTATTATTATTATTATTTTACATCCCAACTAAAGTTTCCCCTCCCTCTTCTCCTCCCAGCTCCCCCTACTCTCCTTCCTATTCCCCCAATCTACTCCTCCTCCGTTTCTCTTAGGAGAAGGGCAGACCTCCCATAGATATCAGCCAAACATGGAATATCAAGTACAGTAAGACTGGACCTCTCCTTGTATTAAGGCAGGACAAGGCAACCCAGTATAAAGAACAGGGTTCCAAAAGCCAGCAATGACTCGGAGACAGCCCCTGTTTTCTCTGTTAGGAGTCCCACAGAAGACCAACCTACACAACTGTAACATATATGCAGAGGGCCTAAGTCAGTTCCATGCAGGCTTCCTGGTTGTTCATTAAGTATCTGTGAGCCCCTATAAGACCAGGTTAGTAGATTCTGTGAGTTTTCTTGTGATGGTCTTGACCCCTGTGGCTCCTACAATCCTTCCTCCACCTCATCCATAGGATTTCCTGAGCTTTGTCTAATGTTTGGCTGTGGATCTCAGCATGTGTTCTATAAAATACATTTGTTAACAGAGGGAAGTATAATTGAATATCAGCTCACCACTGTAAACAGGGACGGTGATTTTGTTTCCTGGCCACCCAGATGCGAATAATCACACAAAACTATATTAATTACAATACTATTTGACCAATGACTCAAGTGTATTCCTAGCAAGCTCTTACATCTTAAATTAACCCATTTCTATTATTTTCTATTTTACCATGAGACTCGTGGTTTACCGTTAAGGTTCTGGCATCTTTCTTCTTCAGCTACTACATGGCATCTCCTTGACTCTGCCTTCTTTCCTCCTCTATCTCTGCTTGGATTTCCCACCTTGCTATATTCTGCCCTGCCATAGACCAAAGCAGCTTCTTTATTAACCAATGGTAATATTCACAGCATACAATGGGGAAATCCCACATCACACCACTGTTCGTTGAATGTGATATCAGCATTCATTTTCATAACTAAAATAAATGTAGGCATTTTGACTGTTAGATAGTCCTTAGTTTAAGTAGGCAGAGAGAGACCTAGGTGTGTGGCTAAGGAAGCCTTTCTTTATAGTAGAAACCTTTTCCCTAGGACTTGAATTCATACAACAGCCCCTTCACTTTTTAAAAAAGGGAATATTTGATTTTCTGTGACTTGAAAGACCAGCCTCTAAAGATAGATTAGCTTCCCCAAAACAGGAAGAATAGACTGCTTTTACAGAGAGAGCGTGAAGAAGGCGGGTGTGTGAGAGGGCTACTCCCCTCCCCAGTGGAAGAGGCTATTGATTTGAAAAGACTCTTAGAAAAATAAAAGTGCATATGCACAGGTTTAGAGTTGCCACTTGCATGTTTTACTCAACAAGCTTTTTGTGACTGAATTCTCTCCATTCTGCTAAATAAAATAACTACTTCCAAAATTAAGACTGCATGGCATTGTGGAGCTAAAGATTTTCTTATCCACATGACCTCTGTGGTTGAGTCATTTGTGCTGCAGTGCTCGCCTGCTTGGCCTTTTGGCCAGCTTTAATGGCTTTGATTACTACTTTGAATTACATGTTGGTGTTTTAGGAGCATTGTATAATAACATCTGTGGAATGTTTTCTTGCCAGGTATTTCTCAGAGGGACTACACGCAATACTATGATCATATTTCTAAACAAAAAGAAGAAATTCTCAGATGTATTCAAGACTTTTTCAAGGAACACATACAGTATAAGTTCTTAGATGAAGACTGTGAGTATTCTCTGTCAGTGCAGTGACGTGAGACTGGTCACTGAGCCTCACTGTGGTCCGTCTGTACACGCGGCTCAAAGTCTGCTCTTAGCGTGCTTCTCTATCACCAGTTGATATCCTGGTGATTTCTGTGTGCGTTTCACCTCATTTAGTCAGGTAACAGTATTTGATGCCAGTGCAGTTCTCTCTCCGTGCTTGTAGATGTTTGCATTCCTCAGGGTGCTTCTCTATTTTAGCATCTGTCTGTATAATCAGAGCATACAGCTGGGGGGTGTTCTGAGGAACTGAAAGTTTGTGGTGTGTAAGAGAGTTTTTGAATAGCTTAGAATTATATCTATGATTTATGCCTTTTCTGCTTGCCACGACTGAGTTCCGTAGCAGATTTAATTAAAAAAGAAGATGAATTGTGCTGTCTTATAATTACATTTTGTGCTTTCTTATGACAAATTTTACTCATTTCACGCCTCAGATAAGTAATGGATGCTCCTTTTATTAGTATTTCTCTTGGTGACAGCTTCCTCTGCCCATGGAAGCAACTGGTTCAGATGATGTTGGCGTTCGGTTTGCATTTTTAAGTATGAGGAATCATTACAGTTGCGGGTAGAGAAGAAGGAGGCAGTTAAACAGAGAGTACAACACAGAATGCTTTTATGTCTGGAATTTTGTTTCATCAGTGAGTCGGTTAATTGATGTTTTGGGACAGGGTCTCACGCTGTAGTCCACTGGCCTGGATACCACTGGTGGTTCAAGCTGACCCTGACCTTACAGCAATCCTCCTGCCTTAGTTTCCCCAGTGCTAAGGAATGTGGGCCACCATTCCTGACTGAGTTTAGAGATCTAGAAGAGTTAAGTGTTCAAGGCTAATGATCTTCTGTTGTGTTTAGTAATAAAATATACTTGAATTTCAACAAAAGATGTGGATTATAAAAGTATTAGTTTATTAGTAACTGAGTTTTTTTTCTTTGCAGTTGTGTTCGATATATACAGAGACAGTAGGGTAAGTAGACTGTAGTTAACCTGCTTTAAAACAAGGAAGGGCGAGCAGAATGCACAACCATTAAGGCCACGATGGTCTGCTGCTCAAGAAATGTGTTCTCAAGCTGAGGTCCTGGAACTCACACTACAAGGTTACTCCTTACATAGCATGCCCAACATGAAGAAACTCAGCGTTCTTATTTTTGCAACTGTCTTTCCGTGTAGCTCTGCTGGCCTGGATCTTGCTATATAAACCAGGTTGGCTTTGAACTCATGGCCTTCCTACCATTGCTCCTGTGTGTTGGGATTATGGTCTACGGCCATACAACCCTGAATGTGCCTGATCTCATCTGATCTCGGGAATATGGCCATGTGCCCTCAATGCAGGGACTAGTAAAGGAACAAGTAGATAAATAAGTGGCTACTTTATATCCTTCCTCACACTTTTTGGGAGGTCTCACCCTGCTGAAAATAATTCATTGTACACACTTAACTGGCCAGGAATTTGGTACTTAATTTCTTTCTTTTAAAGTCAACTAAAGGGTTCTTTGCATGACTTGCTTTAGACTAAAGATGTGATCTTGTTTACATTTATTCTTTATTTTTTTCTTTAATATTTATTCTTTAAATTTTTAAATGAGTGTGTGTATATGTATTCATATTCTTGTGGGAAGGTCACACATGCTGTATGTTGCACGTGGGTTGTGCACATAGAAAAAAGAACAACCTCAGGGAACATCCTCAGAAATACCTGTCTCCAACTGAGGAAGCAAGTGTCATTGGCCTGGATCTCATCAATTAAATGAGGCCAGCTAGGCAGTGAGCCTCAGGGTCTTCCTGTCTCACCTCCCCAGTGCTGGCTTACAAATGTGTCCCAACCATACCTGCCAGTTTTCTGTGGTTTCTGGGGATCAAGCTTGGGCCCCCGTAACTGTGAGGCAAGCATTTTACCAACTGAGTTATCTCCCCAGCCCAGGTTGACATTTTTAACTTAAATTGATTTTTATCTAATACATAAAAACATAAAAATTAGACGAATTTAACATTTCAATGCATGTCTGCATGATGTAATGTTTAGTTCTGGGTAAACAGCTTTCTACTCAAATATTTGTAATTCTTTATGGTAAGAACATTCAAAATTCTCTTGAACAACACAGAACATCATCATTATGTAGAAGGCATTTCCAACCTGCAGCCTGTGGTCACATGTGTCCCAGGATAGCTATTAATGGGACCCAATACATTTGGGTGACAATATCCTATCCCAGTGTTAAAAGGTTGGACATCCCAATAGTCCCCCTGCTATGCAGTAACACATCAGAATTTCTTATTCCTCTACATTAACTTTGTACATTGATCGACGTCTGCCCATCTTTCTGTGTACCCACCCTCTGGTAGCCACATTTCTACTTGACTCCTGTGAGATTCTTGGTTTGATTTCTTTTTTTTTTTTAATAAATTCACTTTTTTTTAATATTCATTTATTTATTATGTATACAATGTGCTGTCTGTGTGTATGCCTGAAGGCCAGAAGAGGGCACCAGACCTCTTTTACAGATGGTTGTAAGCCACCATGTGGTTGCTGGGAATTGAACTCAGGACCTTTGGAAGAGCAGGCAATGCTCTTAACCACTGAGCCATCTCTCCAGCCCTCTTGGTTTGATTTCTAATATGAATGAGGTCATGTGGTATTCGCCCTTGCCTGGCTCAGTTAGTTCCCTTTCAGTTCATCTGTGTTGCCTCAGATAACTGGGTAGCAGGGTTTTTTTATTGCTCAACATTATTCTGTTATGTATTTGGATCACATTTTCTTTACCCATTTATCAGCTGACTGGCCCTTAAGCTGTCCACACTTACAGGTTATTGTCAATAGTGTTGCGAATGAAGATGGGAGACAGTGGTTTCTTCAGGTACTGAGTTCTCCTCAAATGTATGCCAAGGACTGGGATTGCTGGGTCATATGGTTTTTCCATTATTTATTTATTTATTTACGTTGATAATGTGTGAGAGGGTGGATGCACTTGCGTGTCCTCTCTTTCCACCATGTGGGTTCAGAAATCAAACACAGGTCATCGCCTTTACAGGCTGAGAGGAGGCCTGTTTTTAACTTTTTGTGGAACTTCCATGTTGCTCCTCATGGGCTGAACTAGCTTACGGTCCTCCCAGGAACATGAGGACTCACTGTTCCCCAAATCCTTGCCGGCACTTGTTATCTTTGTTCTTTCTGATAGCAGCTGTTGCGGCTGGCGCTGGGCAATCTCATTAGCTTTCATTTGCACACCTCTGGTGGGTGGATTGAGTGTTTTTGAGTCTGTTGGCCATCTGTATATCTTCTTCTGAGAAACGTCTAACACTTTTACTTAACATCTTAAAAGTGATGCAAACTGGTGAGATGAAAAAGAAAACAAAAGCCTGACTTCATACAAACTTCCTACAGCAGAGATTTCATTGTCTAAGCCATGTGATTCTCAGAGAAGCCTCAGTCTGAATGTTGTCCTGTGAGTCTGCCTGGTGACTGAGCTGTTAGAGATATATTTTCTCACGCCTGACCTCATTCCCACTCCACTATGCGACTGTGATGCCTGTCACAGCTTTGAATTCTTTCTGACCAAGCGAATGTGGCCCATAGAATTTTGTCCTCTCGTAACTGTCTGCTGTTCACCTCTCTGTCTTCTAGAGTGAAGGTAGATCTAAGCGTTAGAAAGGAGGGTTATAACGTGAGATGAGTTGGGGCTGGGAAGATGGCTAAGGTAGTTAAAGTGGATAAAGTGTTTGCTGTGCAAGCATGATGGTCAGAGTTCAGACCCTCAGAACCCACGGAAAGGTTGGGCGGTCATGATGTAGTACTCTGGAGTGCTGTAAACCCAGCGAGCTCTAGGTCCAGTGAGAGACCCTGCCTCCATGAGTCCAGTGGAGAGAAATGCCTTAGTGTAAGCCTCTGGTTTGTGTGTGTACATACACACATCACACATACACAAATAGATGAAGCAGGGTACAGACAGGAACGATGTTTTGGAAAGTGTCAGCTGTGTGGAAATAAACCTCCGAAGAATGGGAGGCGGGGTGAGTTCATGGGTAGAAATCTGGTCCTGCAGCCCAGAGTCCCTGGCTATCACTCAGCTCTGCTTCTTACTGCAGACGGGCAGGTCGCTCACACGACCAGCATTTATGAATCCGCTGTGCCGGCTGCTGCGCTTCTGACAGAAAGTTTCAATCAGCATAACCTCAGACAGTAGAGGAGTTTATTATCTTGACACGGAAGTGGCAGACATGTAAATGTTTGTGAGGACTGGCCTGCTGCAGGCAGCATGGAGGCAATTAAAGCAGGATGAACCCAGCCTACTATCTAGAACACACTCTTTTCCCAGAAGGCTGTTAGTATTATTTAATCCCATATCTGTCTGTCTAATGCTGTGAGGTATGTGTTGTCTGCCCACATTGTACAGCTACTAAACCAGTTATTTCATATGCTGCCACTTGGAAATGTTGGAATCAAGCAAGCTGTATCCTCCTGTCCCTGGCAGGTGTCGTGATCACTGACTTAGTAGGGCTGACAGGTGAAGCAGCTGTTTCGCCTGTAAAAGAGTTGAGGAATTTCTTAACGTAAAGTTGGACGAGTCCATGAGTAATGGTAGCTGAGATCATGCGGATCTAAAAGTAGTTACATTTTTAAAAGTGAGAAGCACGCCAGTCTAAACATCCTGACAGTTTCTGTTCAGAGATTTAGACCATATTGTACAACTCATTTGCATTTACTCAATGGCACGTGTATCAGAGTTTGTTAGACACTTTCTTGAATATATTATTGTGAGGCTATTCTTGTAGAAAGCTAATTCATGTATGTAAGTGGTCTGGTTCATGAAATATAGCTGAGGTGTGTTTGTACCTGGTGACACTTTGATGCAACTGTGTTTATTGTGTTGGACAAGTTGATTTAGTCTGCAGAGTCCTATTCCATACTCGTCACATTGGTGACCTACCCACTCAGTACGTCTGAAATAGGGCCGTGGAAAATGCTCTCCGAAGTTCCCACAGGGATGGTAATATACCAGTAGAATTTAGTCATTATGTTCATTCTTCTTTTTTCTTTTTTTTTTTTTTTTTTTTTTTGAGATAGGGTTTTGCTATGTAGCTCTAGCTGACCTAGAACTCACAACTCACTATGTAGAACAATTTGGCCTGAAACTCATAGAGTGAGTGGCCTGAAACTCACAGAGATCTATCTGTCTGTTATTTTATAGACTTTTTTTCAGTCTCTCTATTTTTTTTTAAAGATTTCTTTATTATGTGACACACACCAGAGGAGGGCACCAGATCTCACTACAGATGAGATACCATGTGGTTGCTTGCTAGGAATTGAACTCAGGACCTCTGGAAGAGCAGCTATTGCTCTTAACCTCTGAGCCATCTCTCCAGTCCTGTTGTAGAGTCTTAAAAAACAAATTCTCTCTCTCTCTCTCTCTCTCTCTCTCTCTCTCTCTCTCTCTCTCNCTCTCTCTCTCTCTCTCTCTCTCTCTCTCTCTCTCTCTCTCTCTCTCCCCCCCCCCTCTTTTCAGATGTGTTGTATTATTATATTGTTATTAACTTTTAGTTTCATTGCTCTCTGGACAGAATATAGGTTTAGTTTTGAGTCTTGCTTTTGTAAGTTTGGCTTTATAACTTGATCATGCCCTTGGAAACGTTCTGTATGTGCTTGCCAAAGGAAGTTCAGCTTGTGTGTGCTATATTCTACAGGTAGCTATATCTAGATCAAGCTTGTTCCTAAAATCTGCAGCTTCTAGAGGGAATGGTGCTGGTGGATCTCTGTAAACTCAGTGCACTTTGGGGGAAGGGCTGTGGTTGCCAGTGAGCAGTATCATCAATGAACCGATAAACTGGTGCAGCAGACCAGAAGGGAACGGGTTCTTTGTGCCGTTTGTTTATTTTTATAAATGTGTAGACTTTATCACATGGAAAAAATTGCAATGTCTACTAAAGTACCTTGCTTTCTAGTTGTGTTAGTTTCTTCTTCTCTACTTTGAAGTTATGTTCTTAGATAACACTAATTTTTCTGTGTCAGCCTTTATTATTTTGAAGAAACATATGATGTAAATCAAAGTAGGACATATGGATATTGGCTCACAGTTTCAGAGGTTTCAGTCCATGGCCATTTGGCCCCATCACTGTGAGCCTTTGGTGATTGAGACACCAGAGAATGAGGTGGTAGAGGAGAGCAGAGCTGCTCAACTCATGAATACCAGGAAGCAGAGAAAGAAAGAGTGCGTGGGCCAGCGCTGCACCAATGGACTTCTGTCTGCTTTTTATTTTCCCTCCAAGGACACTTTCTTTGGCCTTTGCTGCCCATATTCAGGGTGGGTCTTTCTCCTTCAGTCCCTGTCTTTTGTAGCAGTCATCTGTGGACTTACCCTCGGTGATAAACCCAGAAATATGCTTTACCAATCTCCTGGGTGTCTCTCAGTCCAAGCAAATGGACAATTGAGGTTAACCACGACAGATCATTTCAAGTGAAATCTTACCATTAAGTAAGATTTCTCTATTCCTAATATGTTTTTTCATTATATATTTTATCTGATAACAATAGTATGACAGGCTTGGGATTGTTTTGTGAGTTCATCTTTTTTATGCTTTTATGTTTAGCTGTCTTATAAACAGAATATTGTTGGATTATATGGGGAGTCTTTTGGTTTGTTTTGAGACAGGATCCTTCCAAGTAGCCCAGCCTGACCTTGAACTCAAGGCAGTCCTGCCTCAGTTTCCTAACTGCAGTGAATTACAATTGTGAACCACCATTCTTAACTCCTCTAGTTTGAGTTCTTGCTTTATGTTTAAGTCTGATTTCTTTAGTATTTTTTCATTTATCTGTTTGCTGTGCAATATGGATCCAATTTTGTCTTTTTCTAGACCTTATTCAATTGTCCTAACATCAGTATTTTTATTCTTATTATCTCTCAGTATGATGTTTTTTCCACCTAAGATCTTGGGGTTTTAGTCTCTGCTATATTTGCAGACTTTCACCCATGTTGTTTCCTTTAATCTCATCATTCATTTTGTTTGTTTCACTTTGAATTAATCTTTAATGAGCTTTTACTTGTGAGAACCCTAAGGACTTTAGAGATCAGAATTTCCACTTGCTCCTATCCTGTTTCTCAAACTCTGGAGAAAGACAATGCCTTTGGTTCCCAGTCAGTCGGTAGGCACTTATTTTTCTTTCTTTTTTGGCACATTTTCTTTAAAGATTTTATTGATTATGTATATGGTGTACTGACACATATTCCTGCATGTCATAAGAGGGCACCAAATCTCATTATAGATGATTGTGAGCCACCATGTGGTTGCTGGAAATTGAACTCAGGACCTCTGGAAGAATAGCCAGTGCTCTTAACTTCTAAGCCATCTCTTCCAGCCATTTATTTAATTTATTTAACTTTTTATTTTAATTTACTTTTTAATATAAAAACAATCTTTTTTCAATCTGCATACCAATTCCAGTTCCTCCTTCCCTCCTTCCGCTCCACTCACCTTTCCCCTCTCCATCCCACATCTAACCCTCAGAGAGGATAAGGCTCCATTGGGGTGTCAACAAAGCCTGGCACATCAGCTTGAGCCCTCTGAAGTTGCTCCCTAGTCCTAAGTCCCTCCTTCAGGCCAGTCCCTGGCTGTTGTGTGGTGTTGAAACCCTTGCCCTTGGATTCCTGGGAGGAATTCTAAGCTCCCTAAGCTCCTGCTGCTCAACTAGACTCTTACCTCTGGTTTTCAGACTCCTTTCCTTTCTGGCTACTGGGGATTCTCCCCTCTTTCTAACAGTTGTTGTCTGTACATTTAAAGGGATTCTTTTAATCTGAATTTCATCCTGTTTCAAATAGGAGGCCTTTAAAGACACCTTAGCAGAGTGTATTGTAGAAACAAACCATCATTAATTTTACACACTAACCAAAACAATCTGCTGTCCGTAACCTCACCAAATATGGTTGTATTATTCTTGAGTTTTCTCTGTAGTTATTGGCTTTTCCATCCACACTGCACTCTCACCCACACTGTTACTGTTGTCCTCCAGATTCTGAGTTGCAAAGACTGGGTACAGTGGTGCTAGCTGTAACTGTAGCTGTTTGGGTGGCTGAGGCAGAAGACTCACTTGAGCACTGGACAGTGCAGTGAGACCTTTCTCAGAACAGCCATCTGGGAAGCATTTCTAGCATCCGCAGCTAGGCAGGTTCTCCTTTGCTCTGCTGTCCCATGGCAGTGTGCTCCATATTGTGGGTGGTGTTGGTTCTGGTTGTTTAGGAAGTATGTTGTGATCTAGATTGAGCTTGTTGAAGGGACAGATTCTGTTGTTGATGGGTCTTTTTAGTTTAGAGACATTTACTGATGAGTGGTCATTTGGTTGATTCAAGAAACATTGGTCTGAGTCTTCATTTCTTACGAATTTCCCTATATGGAATTAACTGCTCAGGATGATTGAGGCCTGAGATGTCATATAAAAGCATGTTCAACCATAAACTTTCATTCTGCACAGTTTTATGTCTCACTACAGCTGGCTTACCTTATTTTGGGGGCTTATGAAAATGGTATCTGCCTTTCAAAACAAATGCAGCCAGCTACCAGTGATGTTGGTTTTGTATTGAGATACAATTTTAGTTTATAGTCAGTATTCCTAGACTAACAGGTATAACACTTCTGAGAGTTTTCCTCTTTTTGATAATGAGATGGGTTTGTTGATAATAAAAACTCAAATAGAGTCAGACATGGTGGTGCACACCTTTAATTCCAGCACTCAGGTGGCAGAGGCTAGTGGGTCTCTGAGTTTGAGGCCAGCCTGGTCTACAAACTGAGTTCCAGGTCAGCAAGGGCTACATAGAGAAACTGTCTCAAAACACAAACAAGCAAAAGTCAAGAAGAGAAAATTTGATTTTGTTAAAAACAACAGGCAGGCTACTAAAGCTATCTTAGTCATAGCCCCCTAAGCAAATCTGGTGTTATGTCAGTCTGACTGATGGCTAGTATTATTTCACACGGTCTAAGAATTGACAGGTGGGTGCCAGACTGATGTGTGCCAATGGCTCAAGTGGCAAGAGAAGCTTGTAGGATTTCTCCTGGGGATTGTATTAAATAGAAACCTTATTCACATGACATGTGGGGAGAACTTCTTGAAATGACTCCATGCCATTGACTGGATGTGTCTGAAGTAAGCCCTGTTAAGGTACTTCATCTTCTCTAAAATTTTGTTTTAGCCTAGATGAAAACAGTATCAGTAGAATGCTGGCTCAGCATTCTCTCTCCTTTGGAATGTCCAAATTTGACACAGCTGTCTGATCAAGATGTGGGAATTTTGCATCTATAATAAAACATCTAATTGTTAACAGTACATAAAGTGAACACTTAAGTAGAAAATCAGGGACTGGAGAGAAGGCCCAGTTGGTAAAGTGCTTGTCACACAATCGTGAGGGCCAAAGTTTGATCTCCAGAGCCCATATCTGAAAAGCTGGATGCAATGACATGTCTTATAATTCCAGTTCTGTTGAAGTAGAGACAGGATTGTCCCTGGGTCTTGCTGGCCAGCCTGGCTAGCCTGGTTAGTGAGCTGCAGGTTCAGTGACAGACTCTGTCTCAAAAACTAAGGGGGAAAGCAATCGAAGAAGACAGCTGACATCTCCTTCTGGCTTCTGCACAAGTACCCCAACACACACACGCACACACACACACACACACACACACACACACACACACACAGCAAACCAGAAGTAGAAGGATAAAAATTTCAAGTAAACATGTCTACCTATGACCCAAATGACTCTGTGATCAAATGCCCTGGCTTTGATGTCCTAGGATTGCACACATTCCCAGTTCAGATAGGTCTATACAGGCCACTTCCTGCTCAGCTGTCCCTGACTCCAGCACAGTTGAACTGTTGGACCATTCTGTCCCGTAGGTGAGCATCTAGTAGGCTGTTTCTGAAGACAAGAAATTCCTTTCAAAGGTTGATATAATCTTTTCCCTCTCTCCTTCGTGTGCTTTCAAGATCTGTCATGCATGCAAACTAAATACCACATGGAAAACTAAAAAGAAAATAAAAAACATTCCTGTACTCTTTGTAGTGTGTTTCGATGGGTCCTCAATGGGGCTCTTCTAACTGGTTCTCTTCTCTCTGCTTCAGTCAGCCCCTTGGATCTGTCTGCTTTGACAGGGGACTCCAGGAAGGGACACTGAGGAATGATTTTTAGAAATAGCTCCTGAGCGTTTAAAATGATTGTGAAGGGAAAGTAATAGAAAAATGCCTGTTTAATCAGAGAGTATAGGTTGTGTTTGTTTTTATTTTATACTTAGCTGATTTTTTTTCTGCCTGTGCTCCAGGGGAAGGTGTGGCTGATTGACTTTAATCCATTTGGGGAAGTCACAGACTCACTGTTGTTTACTTGGGAAGAGTTGACGTCTGAGAACAACCTAAGAGGTGACTTCAATGAAGGGGATGCTCAGGGGCAGGTAAGACCGACCTTTTCAGTCCATTCACCTCGCCCTTGATCGCTTAGGCAGGACCTGGACCTCTGGGAAAGGGTCCAGTACACACAGCTTTGCTGGCTCTTCCCATCAGAATGTGTGTCCCTGGGCTCATTGCTTTCCCTGAAGAGCAGTTTTTCTGCTTATTCGGGTTTTCCATGCTCTGCCTGTCATGCTCGCCTGGAAGAACCTTGACCCTCAGTCAGTTTGTACCAGTGCTCCTCTGGTCCGAGAGCGGTGGCTACCTATCTACCCAGACCAGGGCCTCTTCTCACTGTGACCTGCTTTTGTGGTGAGTGTCCTGGTCAGCTTTCATCTCAGGTGTCTCCAGGCTGGTCCCACTTCTCCAGGCTTTTCATTTCTTCCAGCCATTGTTCCTTATCTTCCTCTCAGCAGATCCTTTCAGCCCCTCTCTAGGAAGAAGCTCCTCAGCTAATTGCTTGCTAAGCCTTGAGCTCACCCCTGCCTGCTCTCCTAAGTCTAGAACTTACCCCTACCTGCCCTGCTAAGCCTTGAGCTCACCCCTACCTGCTCTCCTAAGTCTTGAGCTCACCCCTGCCTGCTCTCCTAAGTCTTGAGCTCACCCCTGCCTGCTCTCCTAAGCCTTGAACACACTCTTGCCTGCCCTCCTAAGCCTTAAGCTCACCCCTGCCTGCCCTGCTAAGCCTTTAGCTTTCTGTTGAACTTAGCATGTTGTGGTTTTCAGCCTCTTCTTGTCTGTTGGGGTTCAGCCAAGTTCATGTAGCTCCCATCTTAATTGTTTTTTCCTTTAACCACATTTATTTACTCAGCTTCATTCTTCCCTTTTCCCATCTTCACAGCTAACCTTTCTTTCAACAAATTTGCATTACCTTTGCCTACCCTTAAACTTGCTTGCCTGAGGAACTAGAGGCAAAGTTAATGGTTGCTGGGAGGGGAAGAGTTATATTCATTGATAGCTACAGGTACGTTGCCTTTGCTCAATTAAATACCTCCCACCCGTGCTCAAGCAGGCAACCCGTCTTGTCTAAGTTCCTGTCTTGTCTTCCTCTGCTGGACATCAGCCATTCTCACCTACATATCTGCCACCTGGGAAGTCAATAGCTAAGGCCTTCTGTCTCTGGAGTCCTTTTTGGCACAAGGCAACATGTCCATATTATCCATAAGAATAATACTAAAGAATGAGTTGCAGTTCACATAGATGGTGCAATGGCAGATGATCTAAGAGGAGTATAAAAAAAGTAGGGAATTCGGAGTACTCATTTGCCCTCACTGTGAAGGACAAGGTACTTCCCCAAGGGCATACCTCCCAACCGCACACCTGTAAAAGTGATCATAGCACAGAGTTCTGGCCTGTATGACATTGCTTGGGCCTAACGACTAACACTGGGCTCTGTCCTGCTCAGGAGCATCTCCACCACACACAGTGTTGTATACAGGCAGCTCTTAGAGACCCGCCCAGCTCTACATGGAACGCTACTTTGAAAGACTTTCTGTTCACTTTCTAGTAACCATGTAGAAGTGTTTTAAATTCTGGTACCTTCTCTTACTTTAGAGTCTGTTGAAATATGGAAGCGGCGGCGGGGCTGCGTCCCCAACACCCCGGCCGCTTGGCTAGCTCATGCCCGAAATAACAACACACAAACTGTATTCATTTAAGAACTGCTTGGCCCATGAACTCTAGCCCTTACAGGCTAATTCTCGCACCTGGACTAGCCCATTTCTAATGATGTGTGTAAGCACCCCAAGGTGCGCTTACCGGGAAGATTCTAGCCTAAGTCCATCGTGGGTTGAAGTTGCCTGGGAGAGCTGAGCATGGCGTCGCTGTTCCAGCAGAGCTGTCGGGTCTGTCCGGGAGCAGAGCTGGGCGGAAGAGGAAGTCTGACCTCACTTCCTCTTCCGCCCAGAATTCTATTCTGTTTCCTCCTCCCATCTATCTTTTAACCTATCAGGGCCAAGGAGTTCCTTTATTGCTTAACCAATGAAATCAACAGATTGATATATGACACTCCCACATCAAGAGTCTTGCTTTCTTCCTTCTCTAGTACAGAAGAGAACAGTGGCATTGAAATTGTGCTACTCTTGTTTTTAAGTTTAGAAAGTCGACCGAAAAACAAAATGACAGACTTTGCTGTTTTCTCTTTGTAAAGGATTCTCCAGCCTTCCGCTGCACAAACAGTGAAGTCACAGTGCAGCCCAGTCCCTACCTGAGCTACGGACTGCCCAAGGACTTCGTGGACCTCTCCACTGGGGAAGATGCTTACAAGCTCATAGATTTCCTTAAACTGGTACAGTATATGGAAGTTCATGTGCTGGGATTCAATTTGTGGCACGTCCTTTCAGTCCTGGACCACCTGGGCTTTTTATTATGGATTAAAGGACCACAATGAAAGAATTAGGCTGCTTTGTAAGGAAATAGGAACTACAAGGTGAAGGGATAACTTGTCAGTTAGGATGGCAGAATACACTTTCATGACACATACTCATTTGAAAAATTTGCATACTGCTAGCTTTAAGTATATATGTTGTCATGGGGCTCGAAGATCACTCTCCTCTGCTATATGTGTGTTTCTTTGTTGGAGTGTGTGTACCCATGTAAGAAAGAGAAGAAAGTATTCAGATGCCTGAGGGTTGTCATCCAGGAACCAGGTAATAAGCCAGCTTATCAAATTAGTTAAAGCATGCTTTTTCCATAATTTCAGCCACATCTTTTGTGAAGACCTCCAGAAAATTACACTTTCTGATAGAAACAGTGACCTTGGCTGGGCAGATAGCCTGGTTAAAATGTGCTTCTTCAACACATTCTTGGTTTCCTTTGACAGAAAAGAAATGAGCAAGAGGACGACTGAGTGCTGCTTTGTGAATAAGTAGAAGAGGGAAACAGCTACTCTAGGAGACGGCGCAGAACACAACCTCCAGTGACCCAAATAGCTGGGGATGGAGTGGGCAGTATGCAAAATCATCCGTGTTTATACTCATGCAGATTCACTTGGGAAAAGATGGAGGAACTTTGGTATTTGTAAAAAAACAATAGCATAATAAATAGATCTTAAACATAAGGAAGCATACTGTTCTGATAATACAATCACTTTCTATGAAATACTTGCTCTCTAGCTCAGTCTGTTCAGATTTATCTATATTTCTTTCATTTCCATTTTTATACCTGTCAGGTAGGTGGTCAGAATTATGCTTTACAGAAATAGTAAGAGATCCTGAGAGGGAAGAAGAGAGCTTAAATGACGTGGGAAGGGAGAGGGTAGTCGGTGTGCCGAGGGAGAGGGTAGTGGGTGTCGTGCAAAGGGAGAGGGTAGTAGGTGTGCAAAGGGCGAGGGTAGTGGGTGTCGTGCAAAGGGAGAGGGTAGTAGGTGTGCCAAGGGAGAGGGTAGTGGGTGTGCAAAGGGCGAGGGTAGTGGGTGTCGTGCAAAGGGAGAGGGTAGTGGGTGTCGTGCAAAGGGAGAGGGTAGTGGGTGTGCAAAGGGAGAGGGTAGTGGGTGTCGTGCAAAGGGAGAGGGTAGTGGGTGTGCAAAGGGAGAGGGTAGTGGGTGTGCAAAGGGAGAGGGTAGTGGGTATCGTGCAAAGGGAAGCACAGTGCGTACTGAGGGAAAGCAAGGGACCAGTGTGAGGGTGGAGGGCAGGGGCAGAACAAAATACAGTGATACAGATGAATGGTGATGCCGTGCTGAAACGCAATAATTTGTGTACTGACCTAAAATATTAATTGAAGAAGTAAGGAAATATGGGCTGGTAGCTCAGTGGGTAAAGGCTCCGAAGCCTGCCGACCTAAGCTTGATCCCTGGACGTCATGGTGGAAGGAGAAAGCTGACTCCTGAGAGTAGCCTCTGATCATTTACTCACACACACCATGAACACACACATGTGTGTGCATACACACACACACATATACAATAAAATATGGCAGGGTCCTAGAAGGTGTCCCTTGGGGGCCAGGAAAAGTAGATGCAGAGCCAATGACATAGGCCCCAGGAATGTGTTGAAACAAAGCTCAGTTTATTTCAGGAAGGGGTAAGCCTTATATGCCCCTACCTTGCTTGGTGTGGGGGTGGGGTGGGGTGGGGGGGTCCGCTGAGCTGGCATCTGCTGAGGTGATGTGGCCACTGTCCACAGGTCCACATCATTTCTTGTCAGACTCGGCTGATGTTGTCAGGGCTCTCTGGCAGACCCAGGCCGGCTTATAGGAAATATCTACTGCACATGCTCTTATTATCGGCCTAGGCTGGCTGGCTCTCAGGCCCATTAAGGCTCAGTCATGCCATATATCCATCCTTTATTATTTTTACAGGACATGCTCAGTGGGAGCTAGAGTGCTTCACCCTGGCCTTCTTGTCCCCACCTCAGGAGGACTCAGCATATGAACTGTGTCTGTCTTAAGTCCGCCTGCCAAACAGACTCTTGTCCAGCCTTGACTACCAGTCCTTGAAGAACACTAATCCTGGTGAGCTGTCAGGGTGGTGCATCAGGCAGTAGACTTTTGAATCTCAGTAAGCCACGCATTACCTCCCCAGGAGGGCTTGTCTTGAATGTCTGAGCCATTAGCACCTGGAGAGTTGCCTTGGCTACCTTTTGTTGACAAATTTGCTGTAGGAGACATTTAAAACAGAAGAATTAGCAGTACTACCCCCCACACACACACCCAAGCAAAACATATAAGGATCCAGGAGGGATCAACAAGTCTTTTTAAATTGTTACATATCCTCATCAAAAATTCAGTCTCTAAGGACATGTGTGGTTTCCTAGTCATGGTTAATCAATGAACTTGTTCCCAAAGTAATATGGAGTAATTGAGGAACTTATATGACCAGGTCCCTTTTATGTATTGTGTCAATCAGAATCTTTTTGAGGAAGTATTGAAAACCTTGTAGGGGGTGAGACAAATTGTTTGGTATCAGGGTTCAGACACTAACAACGACGCATCCTTTATCAAAGTCAATTCCTCATCCAAAAGATCAATTTGTTGTTGTAATACATGTTTAGCCTGATAAGGATGTTGATTAATTATATCTTGAGCATGTAGAACCTCAACAGACTTAGCAACTACTTGATTTAAGGTTTCCGCTGTAGTGGCCATTTGTGTTAGTGGCACTGTTCCGGCCACCACCCCTCCCACTCCCAGCACAATGGCCCCAGCACAATGGCCGCAATGACAGCAGCCATAATTCCAAAGTCTCCTTTTGTCCTAGCCTCCTCCTCTAATTGGATTTGAGTCATAATGGTAATGCTGTGGAAGTGGGTAGCACTGACAATAGGCACCCAGATGGCTGCTGGTTCATTAGGATGTCTGCCTGTGAGTATCCCAGCCAGCATGCTATCAGGAGCTCATCTCGAGAGAGCAATTGAGGGGATCTCTGACATTGGAAGCATTAGTTACTAGAAAGAAGGGGGTCGGACACAGACTGGGGTGGCCTTCAGTTAATTCAGTATTTTGTGTCACATTTACAGCACTTCTTCCTGTCTATTGACCCATATAATTTCTATGGAAGTAGGTCCTGTTAAAAAGACCTTTAGGAGTGTTAAAGGGTGCAAATTGTGACAATTATAGGGGCCACCTAAGTCCCAGTTGCCCATGATGGGGTCAGAGAGAAAACGTATGGGATCTCTGAGAATATGCAGAGTAAGGTAGGAGACACCAAGTGCAGTGAGCTTCCACATACTGAGTTGTACTGGATAATCTTCTAATCTAGAGGAGAAAACAGGCTGGCAGTGTTCCCCTGGGATGGGGAGCCCTACAAAAGTGGGCAGTCTGGACACTGCTGAACATCGAGGCAAAGGTGGCCAGGATGTTGTTGGAGGATGTTCGTAATTAGTGAGTGGGGCAAGAAACTCCAAGCTTCTCGGTTCCATTAGTAAGGTTGCCGTGAAAGTCTCCCGTGGTCATGCTATATAATTTTATACAGGGACTGAGGGACACATAGTGAAGCAGAGTATTTCTTCCATGGACCATATGCCTTCCAGTTTTCTATGTGCAGTTACTAGGTCCGTGAAAAACAACCCCAAACTAGCATTAGAAGTGAACAAAACTGGGTATACAGGGGATTCAATAGCCATGGGCAAAAGAATGGAGGGTAGTGGGGCAAGGGCCTACAACTCCTCCACAGATGCAGAGCAAACAGCACTATAAAGAGCAATATACATCACCCATCCGTAGCTTCTTCCTTGGGCAAGGTTTCCTGGTCTGTAGCAGGACAAATATCTCTGGGAGGTCTTCTCATGGAGTGGTGGCACCCTTTTTTTTTTTTTTTTTTTGAGTTGCTCACGTGTTATTTTTATTTTTTTTAATTTATTAAAGATTTCTTTTTCTTCCCCCCCTTCCCCCCCCCTTTCCCCCCCCCTCCCCCAATCAAGCCCCCCCCCCCCCGTCAGCCCAAAGAGCAATCAGGGTTCTCTGCCCTGTGGGAAGTCCAAGGACCACCCTCCTCCATCCAGGTCTCGTAAGGTGAGCATCCAAACTGCCTAGGCTCCCACAAAGCCAATACGTGCAGTAGGCTCAAAAACCCATTGCCCATGTTCTTGAGGTCTCAGTAGTCCTCATTGTCCACTATGTTCAGTGAGACCTGTTTTAACCCAGGCTTTTTCAGACCCAGGCCAGCTGGCCTTGGTGAGTTCCCGATAGAACATCCCCATTGTCTCAGTGTGTGGGTGCCCCCCTCGCGGTCCTGAGTTCCTTGCTCGTGCTCGCTCTCCTTCTGCTCCTGATTTGGACCTTGAGATTTCAGTCCGGTGCTCCTATGTGGGTCTCTGTCTCTGTCTCCTTTCATCGCCTGATGAAGGTTAATATTCAAGAGGATGCCTATATGTTTTTCTTTGGGTTCTCCTTCTTATTTAGCTTCTCTAAGAACCCGAATTATAGGCTCAATGTCCTTTATTTATGGCTAGAAACCAAATATGAGTGAGCACATCCCATGTTCCTCTTTTTGGGTCTGGCTTACCTCACTCAGGATAGTGTTTTCTATTTCCATCCATTTGCCTGCAAACTTCAAGAAGTCCTTGTTTTTTACTGCTGAGTAGTATTCTAATATGTATATATTCCATACTTTCTTCATCCATTCTTCAGTTGAAGGGCATCTAGGTTGTTTCCAGGTTCTGGCTATTACAAACAATGCTGCTATGAACATAGTAGAGCATATACTTTTGTTGTGTGATAAGGCCTCTCGGGTATATTCCTAAGAGTGGTATTGCTGGGTCCAGGGGTAGGTTGATCCCGAATTTTCTGAGAAACCGCCACACTGCTTTCCAAAGTGGTTGCACAAGTTTGCATTCCCACCAGCAATGGATGAGTGTACCCCTTTCTCCACAACCTCTCCAGCAAAGACTATCATTGGTGTTTTTGATTTTAGCCATTCTGACAGGTGTAAGATGGTATCTTAAAGTTGTCTTGATTTGCATTTCCCTGATCGCTAAGGAAGTTGAGCATGACCTTAGGTGTCTTTTGGCCATTTGAACTTCTTCTGTTGAGAGATCTCTGTTCAGCTCAGTGCCCCATTTTATAATTGGGTTGATTAGCCTTTTACGGTCTAGTTTCTTGAGTTCTTTATATATTTTGGAGATCAGACCTTTGTCAGTTGTGGGGTTGGTGAAGATTTTCTCCCAGTCAGTGGGTTGCCTTTCTGTCTTAACGACAGTGTCCTTTGCTTTACAGAAGCTTCTCAGTCTCAGGAGGTCCGATTTATTCAATGAGGCCCTTACTGTCTGTGCTGCTGAGGTTATACGTAGGAAGTGATCTCCTGTGCCCACTTGTTGCAGAGTACCTCCCACTTTCTCTTCTATCAGGTTCAGTGTGTTCAGACTGATATTGAGGTCTTTAATCCACTTGGACTTGAGTTTTGTGCATGGTGACAGACATGGATCTATTTTCATTCTTCTACAGATTGATATCCAGTTTTGCCAGCACAATTTGTTGAAGATTTTCCACTCTTTTTTCCACTGTATACTTTTAGCTCCTTTATCGAAAATCAGGTGCTCATAGATTTGTGGGTTAAAGTCAGGGTCTCCTATTCGATTCCATTGGTCGACTTCTCTGTTTTTATGCCAATACCAAGCTGTT